GCATTCAGTTCCTCAAATGGTCCCAAAAAGCTACAAGCAACCTTCAATCATCAAGAACCGCACTCGTCGTTTGCTAGGCCGCAAAAGGCAATGTTGGGTTGAATATAAACGAACTGATAACAACGGCTCGTACAGGCAGTACAAACATATAAGGAACATATACACAAAGGCAATAAGAGAAGACAGACTTCAGTTCCAGATCAAGCTTATCGATAGATTCGTCTCCAATCCGAAAAGCTTGTTCAGTTATGCAGCTACTCTTCGACAAGGCAAAACTGGAGTTTCCCAACTGCTTGGTCCTAATGGCCCGACCAACAACGACAGTGATGCCGCTAACCTTTTGGCTGAACATTACTCCCGGACATTCCAGCTGACCCACATCAACCATACTGACGAAAGCTTTACCTGCACCTGTACAGGACTTTCCGAAGTGGACCTGAGTGCTGACCTGGTGCTCCGTAAACTGCAGAACCTAAGAAAAGACACTTCTCCCTGTCCGGACATGGTTCATTCCGCTGTATTGAGGGAAGCAGCTTCAATCTTGGGCGACACCACTTAGCGTGATGTTTGCACACTCGCTAAGCAGAGGCAAACTACCGGAAATATGGAAGCTGGCCCACATCACACCAATTTTCAAAGGAGGTCGACGCAGTGAACCCTCAAGCTACCGACCAGTGGCCCTTCTCTCCATACCTTCAAAAATTATGGAATCCCTAGTATTCGACGGTGTACTAGAACACTTATCATCCTCAAAGTTCTTCTCGCCTCAACAGCATGGTTTCAGAAAATTTCATTCTTGTATGACCAACCTGCTGACTGCGGTGGATAGATGGACTACCATCCTTGATCGCAAGGGGAAAGTTGACGTCATCTACCTGGACTTCTCAAAAGCTTTTGATAGGGTCAACCATGCATGTCTTATCAAGAAGCTTGGACGACTGGGTATAAAACCCCCTTTAATTGATTGGCTCTCTTCATACCTAGAAAACCGACATTTTAAGGTCAGGGTTAACTTCAATCTCTCTCAGGCTATGGAATGTCCTAGTGGGGTCCCCCAGGGTTCAATACTAGGACCTCTTCTCTTCTTCATTTATATTAACGATCTTCCTCAACAAGTTTCATCTGACTTATTGCTTTTTGCTGATGATGTGAAACTTTGGAGAGAGATACGTAATCATAATGACATACTAGTTCTTCAGGAGGATCTGACTTGTGGTGGACCTCAGCAAAAGAGCTTAGTTGAAATATAACAATTCGCAACGTTACCAACAATATACCAAAAGAATTAACACTACGAACCTAAGCGTGTGTCTATGATTAACGCAAAAGGTAACAAATTACAGTTAAATTATAAAAAGGTATATTGAGCAACAAAATGGTAACAGTGTTATGATATGAATGTTACTTGTAAGCTGCTTTCTGAGATAACAACCACAAATAAGTTCACTTGGTTAACAAAGATTCCTCTGCACGTGATGGCACCAACAGCAAAATGGCGAAGATTAGATCCAGTAGTATTATTCAGTAATGATCCGTGCCAAAACACCAACGTAGTGTGGAATGGTCTAAAAAGATGTTATAATACTATTATAATCTTCAATCAAAGGCCGTGGCCGTTAAAGCAGAAGAATAAACGGCGGATACAACGCTTATATTTTTTAAGAAGCGCGGTAGTGAATAAGTGTTATAAATAGCCAAACAAAAGTATTCGTTTCTTTACCATTGATACAGAAAAACAATAGATATCGAATATGAGTGTGATTACATAAAAAGTGTGACAACTAGGAAAAATATGTGACCTTTAATTTGTTGTTACAAAAAATCACTAGACATAAATGTCACTATATAACTCCCCCCCTAGGGCATGCGTCGGTGGTGGTATGCCCGACGTAAATTCTAAGTGCTTTGGAGGGGAAAAAAATTATTACACAACAAAGGAAAGAATAAATAGAGGTTATCAAAAAAAATTTTTAATAAGTATATATACTTGTGAAACAAAATGTTTTTGTGTGGTTAGAAAAAAAAAATTTTGTGTTTATTATTTTTAATGTATGTAAAAAAATTTAACAAAGATAATTGAACGTATAATAAAAATAATAGTGTTATTTATAATAACGTTAATTAAATTGATATATTACGGGAAAAATTTTTAATATCTGTATATATCAATGTAAACGATCAATTATAAAATGAACAAATACAACTAAGTTGGGTAACTTTACAGTTAATAATGAGCATCATGTAAAACGCATACACTTATAGTTAAAAATATGTCATGAGTAACTCTTAGCATATGGGTATTTACTCACATTACAGAATATGATCGAAGGAAGATTTAGTAATGAATTCAGCATAACGTTTAGGAATATGTACCTGTCTTCCTGTACGAGTGGTTTTTGAAATAGGTAAGGTAGTGGAATTAGGAACTAAGTTTGTAGGAGCCGTAACATTAGCATCACACATTGTTTGAGTTGGCGATTTCACAGAAGTAGGTGAAGAATTAGCTGGAAACGCAGGAAGCTGTGTTGTGCAGTTGTTGTCTTTAGAAGGCTTTCGACTGTTATGTGTTTCAGACTCTATGAAAGCGGGTTTTAACCTGTCAATTGCAACTGTTTCCTTTTTCCCATTCTTCTTGATTGTGAAATATTTTGCTTGCCTGTCTACTACTTCATAAGGCCCTTCATAAGGGTGTTGTAAAGGACGTCTTACTGAGTCGACACGGACAAACACAAATTTACATGTGTTTAGGTGCTTGCTAATTTGCTCTTTTAGGAAGACTGGTCGAGGTGCAACAGGCTTAATGCTATTCATATGGCTCATTAGTCTTTCGCAAAAGGATGAGGGGTCTGTACATACAGAAGTGCCTTTATGCGTGACTAGTTGACCAGGTAAGGTTAAATTAGTTCCATAAACTAGCTGAGCAGGTGTACATTGTAGATCTTCCTTAATTGTTGAGCGTATGCTCAATAATATGAGAGGTAGGAATTCACTCCATCTAGTTACATCAGGCTGTACCATCAATGAGCTTTTAAGTTGTCTGTGGAATCGTTCCACTAGTCCATTTGCTGCTGGATGGTATGCAGTTGTAGTGATGTGATGGATTCCCAAGATGCGCGTAAATTCGTTGAAGAGGTGCGATTGGAATTGTGAACCTCTGTCGGAAGTAACGGTAGAAGGTACACCGAAATTAGAAATCCATCTGTCAAGAAACACGGCAGCAATATTTTCTGCTGAGATATCTTTTATTGGACATGCTATTGGCCATCTGGTAAAACGGTCCACTGCAGTAAAGATGTAAGTAAATCCGTTAGATGGGGGTAAAGGACCAACTAAATCAACGTGGACATGCTGAAAACGATGGTCAGGTAGATTGAATGTTGACGGTGTTGTAATCGTATGTCTGTGAACTTTGCTACGCTGGCATTGTAAACAATTTCTTGTCCATTCCTTTATGTTTGAGTTCATTTTTGGCCGGACAAATCTTTCTCCGATCAGTCTCGCAGTAGCTCGAACTCCTGGGTGAGATAATGAATGGAGACAATCAAAAACTTTTTTTCTGTACGCTATTGGCACAAATGACCTGGGTATTCCAGTTGAAGTATCACAAATTATAGTAGAATTATAAAAAGGTATATTGAGCAACAAAATGGTAACAGTGTTATGATATGAATGTTACTTGTAAGCTGCTTTCTGAGATAACAACCACAAATAAGTTCACTTGGTTAACAAAGATTCCTCTGCACGTGATGGCACCAACAGCAAAATGGCGAAGATTAGATCCAGTAGTATTATTCAGTAATGATCCGTGCCAAAACACCAACGTAGTGTGGAATGGTCTAAAAAGATGTTATAATACTATTATAATCTTCAATCAAAGGCCGTGGCCGTTAAAGCAGAAGAATAAACGGCGGATACAACGCTTATATTTTTTAAGAAGCGCGGTAGTGAATAAGTGTTATAAATAGCCAAACAAAAGTATTCGTTTCTTTACCATTGATACAGAAAAACAATAGATATCGAATATGAGTGTGATTACATAAAAAGTGTGACAACTAGGAAAAATATGTGACCTTTAATTTGTTGTTACAAAAAATCACTAGACATAAATGTCACTATAGACTCGACTTCAAAGTTGGGCAGACGACAACGGACTTACCTTCAACACTTCAAAGTGCAAGGTAGTCCATCTGAGACATGTTGCAGACTATAGTTATAACTTAGGTAACTCACCTCTAGAAGTTTCCTAAGTTGAAAAAGATTTAGGAGTGTTGGTACCCTACGACCTGAAATCGTATGCGAACTGTGACAAAAACGCCTCTCAAGCAAACCTTGCCCTGGTAACATTGAAGCGCATTTTTGGCCAGTTTGACGGTAGAAACTTCCATATAATCTTTAACAGTTTTATTCGTCCCCATTTAGAGTACGGAAACATAGTATTTCCTCCCTCCCTCCAAAAGGATAAGGTCACTCTGGAACGTATACAACGTCGAGCCACGAAATCAGTTCGGGGTCTCAAATTCAAACCTTATGAAGAGCGCCTCAAATTACTTAACCTTTACCCGTTAGAGTATAGGCGTCTTAGAGGTGATCTTCTTATGACTTATAGTATCCTTAATACTTCTGGTCATCCCCTTAAACAACTTCTTAAGCTTAGTCATAACACTAACCTAAGAGGTAACACCCAGAAATTGGAGACCCTACATAGCAGAACAGACTGCAGACACAACTTCTACTCCGTTAGGGTTGTCAAGTGCTGAATTCGCTGCCGACTGAGCTAGTCCAAGCGACCTCCCAGGAGTCCTTTAAGAGAAAACTTGACTTATTCTTAAGGACTAAGGATAACATATTATAATGATTTACCAAATTCTTTTTTTCCCTCTATTATCGTTCATATACCTAGGTTCTTGCCTGGAGGTATTGGTGATCCACTGCTACCAGACACGGAAGCCCGTTAAGCGAAAGCTTCTTCTATTCCGTCCTCAACCATTTGAACTATTTGAACGAAACATAGAATTCCCCACAGTAAACCAATAGCTAAAATCCTTCAGTACAATACCCAGAGATTTAGAGCTCATTATCTAGATAAATTGGATAGAAACCAGATGAGGAAATGTGTTACAGGTATTTTTTATGTGTAAAAGTTGCTTCCCATATTTCAGTTGTTATTGACAATTGAAAATAGCCGCCCTTCAAAGGGAAGTTGTATGATAAGGATAATGTTTCTCGTAGGGAATATAATCTCAGGACGTATTATGTATATCTTCGCTACATTGAGGCATAAAAGCGTAGTTCGGTAATAAGGTAAGCCATATACTCTTGTTTCGTTTTTTACATTACTGTTGTATGTTATTTTGGTTGTGTTAATATTATATCTTGTCGATCTGCAACTAGTCACCTTTACGGATTGGTGATTGGTCCTACTGAAAATTACCTGCACATTTCTGTTTTCCACTATGTTCTCCACTGGAAAAGTGAGATATCTATGCTGCTTGAAGAAGACGATATTGCTAAATCGTTGAGTAAACTTGTTGGTTTTGATCATTTTAACATATCAAACCCTACTGTCTTTTGCTTTGATTGAAATCTTTCTGGCAATGATATCAAATGCTAAAACGGGCCGTGGTATCTTTGCTTTCACTGCTGCGGTGAATAGTAACTTTTGAAGATGCTTAGTGCTCGAAAATGGCTTTTAAATGCTGGGCTTCTGTTAACCAGTAGCGAATAGTATCCATCATGATGAGTTCAGTTTCTGGTGCCACAAAGTACGCACAAGTCTTATACCAACTCAATTTCAGAGTATTTCTGTGGTTGTCTTTATATTACTCACAAATTGTATCGGACGCCTACACTTTTAAATTTTTCAGAAAAACGTAACAGGTAGCCTGAGTAAATGCCATGATTCTGGTTCTGTTGATGCACAGGTTGAATCTTATGTCATTGGTTTAACTTTAAAAAAACATTCGCTTTTTATCCTATAGATTTCTTAGACTACACCCCCGCCAGAAGGCTGTGAGTAGGATCTCTCTGGCAGTGGTTGTATGCAAGTGGCCATATGAAAGCATTTCAAGAGGGAGAGCTGACCTTCCTCACTCTCGGCCATACTAAGGTATTTGGGGGTCTCTTGACAGAAGCATATCCAGTTTGCTGGTCACTTGAGGATCGCGTACAGTGAGGAGAGGTTCTTATGAAGACCTTGGAAATCCAGGGTTTCTGGACATGCTTTTCTTTGGGAAATTCGTACACTAATGTTCACTACCTAGGAAATAAGTGCCACGCATTAAGGATGTAAGTAATCAGATTGTATTCACTTGTCATAGCTGTTACTGAAACTTGGTCAGTTTATGATTCTAACTAATCCCAAGCTATCGGGTTAGATAGACCTAAATGATAGTAATGAATAAGGTCAAAGGTGGAGCTCTGTTATAAATTAAAAATCGTTTATATGATCATTCCCTCATATAAAAAAGCTATCACGGCCTCATCTTTAAGGGCGTCATCTGTTTTACTCCAACTGCTGGTTCAAAAACGTTGGCCCCCGACATTAGTTTTGAGTGCATCTGAAGTACGTTTGAAAGATTTGTCATCGATTGAGTCTAGTAATACATTCATTATTCATGAGGCAACGTCAGTCAGTCAGCTAAAACGTAGGACCAGGCACATTTATGCATCCGTCCAAGTTGCCATACCTCATTAGCACAATAAGATAAACATCGAATTCATAGAAGTAGTTACTTCGCTGTTAGTAATATATGAAAGAAAGATCTCATGTAATAATATGATGCAGGGAGAAACAAATTGGTTCATAGAACAAAAAGGCACAAAGCAATTCTAATCTCATCGCTTAAGGTCAGACAAAGAGTATATACACCTACGCCACTGTGATCGATTCTGAGCCATGTCACCCCAACCAAGTAGTCTGCATCTACCAACATGGCTCAGACTAGAAGTTAGTGACTTCAATGACTGATGCCACGTTTTGGTTTGGCCGCCCCTAACTTTTTTCCAACTATCCCCAATACTAGTCAACATAGCGCGTTGTGGTAATCGGTGTTCAGGCATACGTAACACGTGACTCAACCATCTCAGTTGATGAAGATTCATGACCTTATCAACTGATTCACCATCACTCCCTAATACCCTGTGTGTAACCTCACTATTACTTAGCCGGTGATCTCAGCAGATGTGAGAAATATTTCTAGGAAATCTGTGATCAAATACTGGTAACCTAAGAGTATCTTCTACTCTTAATGGCCACGTTTTGCATCCGTAAAGTAGAACATAACGAACAGCTGCACAGTATACTTGTCCCTTAATTGATAATCAGATATCTCACCTTCGCCATAGGTGAAGTTGGCAAAAGCCAAAGGCGTTTTGTGAATCTGTGCATAGATTTCGTCAGACACCAACCCATTATTACTGATCAGACTTCCAAGATAAGTGAAGCTGTCGACGCGTTCAACTACTTCACTCCTTATCCTTAGTTCAGGTGTTGACGCAGGCCAGTCTTATGTGGCGCATATATATCTGGTGCCCTCTTGTACCAATATTTTTGTGTTCAAATAAATAATAAATAACTTTAATTCATTTTTTTCAAGTTTGACAGATTTGTAGAACAACCGAATAACTTGGTAAAATGAATACTTCCAACTTATTTTATCTCCGAGTTTATTGTCTACTTTAGTGCATTAGAAAAATTGCTTCCCTTTCACTGACTTCGAAATGAACCAGTTCTAGATTACGAATCATTTGTAAAGTGATGGCTTAGCACTTGTAAAATTACACTACTTTCAATTATGGGATCTCATATTCAAATCTCGTATCACTTCGGTTTAGGGAGCCAAGTAGCATTAGTAACTGTAAAACAACAAAATATAGTTTAAAGCCGAGTACGTTTATTTAAACCTGGTAGACAAATTACAAGATTGTTAATCATTCATCTTGGTAGAAAAAGTACTATAACTTTTCTGAGTGAATTTAATGTTTGCCAAACATATTGTTCTCGTTTCGAATATAATGATCAAATTGTTTGTGTATGTATATAGGAACCATGTAAACAGAGTTCATCTTACCTATCTCAACTAATAACCTTCATCGTCGCCGTATGCAAATAACTTTAACAAGCCATGTAGAATGACCAAGTAGTACCAAAACTATGTTTAAAATATTCATTATGATCTTTTTTTTTCAGAAATTCTTTCACTAACTATCATATAATTATATTCTTTTTTGATTTCTTAGTGGTACTTATATGGTTATTGTTATTATTTTCCCAGTATGGAAGCAGGATCCAATTGTTCTAATGATAATCATCCTCGTCAATTAAAAAAAAATTCACTAAAGTGTTTCTATTCACATTCAGTAACTGGTAAAAATGAGTTACCAACAACACCATTAACAACAAATACGATTCCAAATGTTAGCCATGAATGTTCTAAATTCATAATAACTACTGAACCCTTATCGCCACTCAATAATCAAAATAATTGTTCAAATGATTTAAAATTCATGGATGATAGTACTTCATCATCATCGTCATCAATATGCGGTTTGGATAGTTTAACTTGTACTCCCAGCGGTGGTGGAGTATTATCATCAGAATCACCAAGTGATTCAACAGCAATTACATTGACATCGAATAATTCTAACAAATCACTATCATTATCGTCATCTTCATCACATACTCCCGCTACTGTTGCTACCGTTATACATGATCCTGATGATTATAGGAATGGTTGTTCACATAATGGATTACTTATTGGTGAATCATTACAAAATACTCATCAATTACCACGTTCTTGTATGTCTTTAAAAAAAACCACTTCATTTTTCATCCCTCCTAAATCAAATAAACCTGTCGGTGGTGGCGAACAGTTGAAATTGACTGAACCATCATCGTCATCTGATGCTATGTTAAGTGCTAATAACACTTTATCGAATTCGTCAAACCTTAAATCGCGTATCCCAGTACCAGTTTCATATAACAATAATAATTATCTTGAGAGTAGTCATCGTCCGACAATGAAGCCTAATCCAACAGCATCTCAGGTTAACCAAGCCTCAAAAAATGGTTCACTGGTATCCGACTTATCGTTGAATAAAAGATCTGCACATGGAGTAAGTGTATTTATGCATATAACCTGATTGTTTTGTACTGTCTAACGTATAACTAGACGAGTTAATTATATAACTGTAGCTGCTTTGACGAATGCTTAGATGTGCCTCTCTCGATACTATTATCTCTTTCATTGTTTTTTGAACTCCAGTGAACAATTCTTCATGCTTCCTTGGTCGTTAAAAACTTTAACTAACCTATCGCTGTCTTTTAATGACAAGGTTAATTTGAATTGTTCAGCGTTAAGAAAAGACCCATAACATATTTCTAATTTTCAACAAAATATTTCATCTTGGTAAGAATCAGGAAATTTTATGATGTGAATGTGAAAATCAGAGGAATTCCAAATTAATTAATTTTGGTGATATAGATCTATTGCATATACTGTTCATTTCGTATAGTGTAAAGCAATGGTCCAGTGGTTAAGGCACTGAACTTCCAACAAGTATGTTTTCTATCCGGATTCTGCCGCGACTATTTCAGTTTAACTAGACGGGTAGTGCTACTACTCCTCACTTAAAGCGCGACCCAAAGCTGAACATATACATAGCCTTCAACCGTCAACTTGCATCTTCCAGTGTGTTCTACAATCTGAACTGGCTTCCAAGTGTTTCTGACAACACCGTGCTTTTGATGCACTAAAACTTTTCACTCTATGCGACTTTGAAACCACGTCTCACTACACGTTACTTACAAACGTCCTTGTGGGTAGCATACACTACAGCGTCATTAAAGGAAAGAAAATACTAAAATAATTGAAAGGGTTCTGTACAGTTTTACATATTGCAAATTTCAAAAAAGTTCGACAATGACGTTGAAGGCTGGTTACAAATATTACTGAAACAAATTTAATAAAATTCACAAACAGTTCACTCGAGTAAAATTAAATTACGTTTCAAATATGGAAGCACTAACGACTCTACCTCAAAAATGTAAAAATATCAGTAGAGTAAGGTTATATACGCTTTGGATTTAGACTTCTCTTCAAGTCGTCTGATTGTACTAAGAAGGGTGGTTGGTCAAAAACAGGAAAAAATTGTGGACATTCTAATACCAATTCTTTAGGGGATTTAAAAGCTCTCAAGAAGTCTTTTTCCTCTTGTTTTACATCTTAAAAAGTGAAATTGTTGGAATCTATCCAAATCCTTTGTAACGTGAAAAATATATGCTCAGACTAAGTCGATTATTCATTTATTTTGTTATGGGGATAAACATACAGTCGTTTTGTTGACTGACGTTAAGCTCTTTGACCACTTCACTTATCTGGAAAGTCTCATCAGCCCCAGTGGGTTAGTATCTGACGAAATCCTGCAACCTTTTTAAAAAAATATTAGTCTTGGGCAACTTCTGACTGATGGAGTAGGCAAGATTTGCTTCTAATAACCAAAGGATGAGTTTACTACGCAACAGTTCACTTCTACCTTATGAGCGTGAAATAACTATCAAAAAAGTAAATATTCGTAGGTTCCTAAAGTTTGTTCATAGATAACTTCAAAGCAATGTTCAGTTATATTGAGACCATTTAGAGAGCAATTCTGAAATTAACCATAAGGTACTAAATAAAATTTCATTGGACTAACTGACTCACTGACCAGTTGAAAATGGCAAATCTGTCAATAATGAGATCGTTTGGACGTGTAAAACTCATGTCCAACCACCACCTACTTCGACGGACGATATTGTCTGGTATAGGAGAAGGCTGGAGTAAAACTAAGAATAGATGAGCCGAATGATGGCACCAGTCTAGAAAGTTATTGATCTTTAAACTTGGTGATGTAAGAAGACATAGACTACCCAGTTGGGATTTAAGTAATTATTGTAACGCATGATTAGAGAATTTGGGTGACTTAACTCAGAATCGTGCACAATGGCCCAAGTACCATCGCTCTTTCCATGGTTCCTGAATCCAAAATATCTTTTTGCTTCTTTTTTTCGATAGTTAACATTACTACTATTGATATTGTTACTACTTTCCCATACCTTTGAGTTTTGTCTTAATAATTTTGGCTCACTGTGTGAATGTGATATGGCAATTTGAACTGATGCATATATATATATATATATATATATATATATATATATATATATATATATATATATATATATATGACTAACGAAAGTTAATTTTCATTCCTCTCAGTACTCGTTATGTCACCGATACTCAGTGTTAATAATAACAATAATCCCTGCTATTTTATTTACCGGCATTGTTATTCTGGATCTTTTTTACGTAAAGTACATGTGCACTATCAGCTGTAGTGATCGATCGTAATGTAACTATAAAATTAAGTGCAAACAAATTTCGTTTATATATATAGTTGTTTGTCGCTTAAAAATCGATATCAGCAATCATTCCGATTTGTCACTAAATAAATAGTTCATTTATCTTGTTGATTTGAATATAAGTGCACATTCTATTTATTTTTTTATTTATTTTTATTTAAACACATAAATATTGGTACAAAGAGGCACCAGATACATATGCGCCACACAAGTCTCTTTCGATTTGTGAGGACTGTGATACTGCCCAGGTGCCCAAACTGAAACAGGTGGTTTTCTTAAAGGGCCACACCTGTAGCCTTTGACCTGAAGGTCTTATCCACAAGGTAGTGGAGCATTGTAAGGAGATGCAGACCAATGGTAGTCGGCGACCAACAATTCGTTCATGCGTCGTTTGTTCCCTCAGGATACTGGATCCCATGTGCACCATTGGTTTGGAATCAGGGTTTTCCAACTTCCCTAGGTGAACTTTCTGTGTCCACCAACCCGGTTAGTGCGCCGGTCATTCGCTTTTCGTCCTCTCGATCCCGTAAACAACAGTAATACCACGAGAAGGCAGTGAGTAGGACTTCCGTGGCAGAGGCTATATACGCGTGGCCATGTGAGAGCATTTGAAGAGGGCGAGCGGACTCTCCCCCACTCTCGGCATTTGGGGGAACTCTCCAGTCAACGAAGATTTGATGTGTTCAACCTAATTTTTTGAGTATTATACCGATGTTACTACACATTAATTACATGTGAAACAGGCAAATCCGAACAGGGTCAGTTAGGTTCTCGAATAATTACTTCAAAACAAACATTTTTCTTCATCTCCAAACCACTTCAATTAAATTAATCCATTTCACATAGAATTGTAACTTAACTATTTCTATCATCTACTACCATTAATTTTCGTTGGAACCACATTAGAATTGTATTGTTTTACTATTCTCTCACATTCTCCCTATACCTTTTAACATCTCATCATTATTACTCTACATGAAATTGTCGATAATATTTTGTGTATATGTGTATATGTCTGTTTATTTTTATGAAACTGATTTTATCCCGTCCAATTTTTGTTGTTGTTGCAAAGATAGAAAATTGGACGTATTTACGACCAAACAAAAATTTTTTAACCATACTGTGCAAAACAAATGAAAAAATAATAATAAATTCACACTGTCAGACAAATAACGATTTATTGGACGATCAATAATAACCAACTGTATATCTATCTATCTATATATTTATACTTGTGTGCGTCTTTGTGTTTGTGTGTAAATATTAGTAGTAGTAGTAGTAGTAGTAGTTAAATGAAATCGCAATTGCTAAGCGTTTGTATAAACAACACATTCAGTATTCGATGGTTACATTTTTGTACTTTCTCCATTGATTATCTGTTTGTATAAAACAAAATTTAATAAATCGAAATAATTAAATTATGCATCAGATACTTGGGTATGAGCTACATCTCAAGTGTGAAAGCTAATAAAATGCCCCCAAATGCCCTGGGGAAAGTCAGCTCTCCCTCTCCAAATGCTACCACATAGCCACGCATATATAGCCTCTGCCAGGGAAGTCCTACTCACTGCCTTCTCGTGGCGGAGGTGTTCTTTACGAAATTGAGAGGACGAAAAGCGAATGTCCGGCGCTTTAACCGGGTAGACACGGTGGGTCCACCTAGGGGAGTTGGAAAACCCTGATTCCAAACCGATGGTACACATGGACTAGCTCCAGTATCCTGAAGGAACAAATGGCGTATGGATCAATCGTTGGTCATCGGCTACCATGAGACTGCATCTCCTCACGATGCTCCACTACCTTGTGGATCAGATCTGTAGGTCAAAGGCTGTGGGTGTGGCCCCCTAAGAAAACCACCTGTTTCAGTCTGGGCACCTGGGCAGTATCACAGTCCTCACAAATCTTATTTGATTTGTGAGGCGCATATTTATTTGGTGCTTTTTGTACCAATATTTATGTGTTTAAATAAATAAATAAATAACTCGGTTGCTTGAACCAAAGTAGGATAGGGCGGAGTTCGAACCGAGAACTTAATAGCTGAAAGTTGAACGCTTTAATCACCAAGTAGTCATTGTTCTACATATATAGGATGATTGTTATTGGTGCTTATTTAATTAAGTGGAAAGTAGTAATGTATGTAATGCTTAAATTGGTTCCTTGTTAATAATTTGAAATTTCTTTTTTGTTATCTTGTCTTGTTTTCTCAATGATAATAACTTTTCATATGCAATCATATTCTCATTGCTTGATTTCTTATCATTATCGTTGCTTCTATAATATTGTTTTGCCTTACTAGTATGGGTATGACAAGTCAAGCAAACGCATATTTATACCAGTCTCCATATTGATTTTTACTAATTAGATAACTGTCTTATCCTGTCATCTCTTTTAACTCATTACTAAATTAGTACTGGGTGCATATTTTGTATAAGTTTTTATTCGACTAACCGTAAGGTTATTCTCGTTGTTTCTACAATTCGTGGTATATATTTTGGGGTCGAGTAATTAGGAAGTTACTACAGAAAATGGTAGAACATTCCTTGTAACACCGACTGTAAATTAACATCCTAATATCTATAAGGTATGTTTGCTTTCTTTTAAAGCTCATCAACCTCACCATATTTTTTAAAAGTTAAGATTCAGTTTTATGTATCAAGTTTATTTTATAGCTCGTAAACTATTGTATTTGTAGTCATTAATTTAGTCAAAACAACAAATGAACACCGACCCACGTTGCCACATCACATCTCCATGACAAAATGAAATTAAAAATTTTAATCCCACAAGTTAGTAGATGTAACAGTAGTGTTTATGACAGTAAGATCGATTAGACATTGCCAACTTGCGATACCACTGGCGTAGGTTACATATCAGTCTGGCAACCAAAGAACAAATACCATACACAGTTGTTCTCTCTGTTTTACCTCGTGGCTATGAAACGTACCTTTTAAAAATGGAGAATAGTCATAGATTACTAGTATTTGATCATAGATACTTTCGAAGCATTGGTCATTTATATTAAAACCATCGAGTTAGCAATGATGGGGTTAGATATAGGGTAACAAGTTAATATGCCAAATTGGTTGATAAGGTTGTGAATTGTCATGGACCTAGGTGGATAGAACATGTTATACGCATATCTAACTATTGTTTACTTTGATGGGCAATGCTTGGTTGTGTAAAAGTATGTTTAAGGAAAGTTAGATGTGGTCAAACTAAGACATAATATCAGTGCATGAACTCATTAACGATGGGACTGAGCCGTGATGATAGTTTCAGACCACCTGATAAGGGTTCACACGATAGTCGTAACCAGTGGTTAAAAGACTTTGGTTGACATGAACCAGATGCATCGACTATTTTTCTTCCCTTAGGTTTTCAGTTCAAAAAAGTTACCTTGAATTTTCTATTCTTCAAACTCATCTTTGAATTCATATTTTGTATAACTAATGTTTTCTGCTACTGCTGATATTGCTAATACTTCGACACCTCATGAATGGTCGTGATAATTTCATCCCGCTTTGTATATGTAGTTAACCGATGGGCGAACGTACTATATATGCGCTTCATTCACCTCTCTTTGATATGGTGAAGTTTGGTAATCTGATCTACTACATTATACTATTATGTGGTACATTTTCGTTTATCGGCATGTGGTAAAAAGTTAGTTCGTAAGTTAAGATCATGTATGAAAAAGTTCGAAAATTCTCAATAATCAAATAGTATTTTCGTTTGTTGGATCCATATGGTCCATTACATCATTTATTACCGCTGCGTTAATGTACATAATTCAATTTAGTAGTATAAAACCTAAAAATATAGTTCGCTTCTTCATTCTTAGCTCACGCTTGAGTTGTTTGGAAGTAGTAAAATCCCCAGTGACCAGAGATGTATTCATAACACTGCACATCTTAAGCTATGTCTCCAAATTAGTCGCAGTGATTTATATGCATTCATTTTTTTATCTTCTCATTGATTACGTTCCAATGTTGTTTCATACTTTTATCAAGTGAATTCATTCCTTCTCGGACTATATTCTCCGCATGTAGTTTTACCTACTACCTTTCAAGCAATGATTATTTAAACTCTATTTTTCTTGTTAATTTATCTCGCTATGCTGGTGTAGCGTATCAGCTGAGAGGTTCCGCATCCAGATTCACTTCCAACTCTGAGTATCATATTGTCATGCCGATTTCCATGTATTGATTAATAATAACAGGTGTCAGTCAATAATACTTTACCGAGTCAATTTTCACGTATATTATCAGTTTTAAGGGAGTAAAATAGATCACATTCACTCTCTATCCCTGTAAATATTGTGATAACCGTCATCCATAACTGCATTTTTCTATCTAATTTCTCTCTTTTGAATTGTATTTCCTGGTGGTAAGATTCGTACTACAGCTTAAACTGATTCTTTTTCATTTTTTATATTGTGATTTCTCTTTCTTGCTGTGCTTATATAATGTGTTGTCACGTGCAACAATACATATTTTTGTATCAAGTCTTACACTGATGATGATTGACTGATCTTTTTATGTCAGCCATTTATCTAAGATACCTGAAAAGAAAACAGGATCTTGACGACCTGGAAGCATGATTATAGTGTCCAGGAGACTATCTCTTGAAGCTGATCACATACTACTTTTTCCAAGTCGTCTTAGATGACTTAATTCCACGCCTTTATGGAAAAGAAAGTCGATTATGCTAAGTGAGGTGCTAATTTTTAGACCGACCTTATCCTAAACCCTCCTGCCTTTACGAAAAGGTAGAATCTTGGAGGTTCTGGTTGTCTGAAGGCTGCGCACTTCTATCGTCCTATCCATACATACACTATCAGCAGTAAAACTTCGCCCTCAAACCATACGTTTTTCGCTCTAATCAACCTGCCTGGCATGTTTCTACCTAAGAATGGGATTTTTCTGCCCCAATATAGTTCAATTCAGTCAGTTAGTCATTCATCTACAACGTAGGACCAGGCACATATATGCATCGGTCCAAGTTGCCATACCTCATTAGCACAATAATATGAACATCGAATTCATAGAAGTAGTTACTTCATTGTTAGCAATATATGAAAGAAAGATCTCATATAAGGATATGATACGGGGAGAAAGAGTTAGTTCGTAGAACAAAGGCAATTTTAATCTCATCGTTTAAGGTCAGACAAAGAGTATATACACCTACGCCACTGTGATCGATTCTGAGCCATGTCACCCCAACCAAGTATTCCGCATCTACCAATATGGCTCAAACTAGAAGTTAGTGACTTCAATGACTGATGTCACGTTTTTATTTTGTCACCCTAACTCTCTTCCAACCATTCTCAATACTAGTCAGCATTGAGTGATCAGACTTCCAAGATAAGTGAAGCTGTCGACGCGTTCAACTACTTCACTCCTTATCCTTAGTTCAGGTGTTCACACAGTCCAGTCTTGATGCACAATATTCAAGCATGACCAACCGCATCAAGGTAGTAGCTATAATCCAGTATCTTGATATTAACTGAAATACTTATGATATCAATGAATTATACTCAACTCCACTTCATGGTTTTTTGTTTGTTTTTATTTTCTTCTCAAAGCAGCATAATCGATTATTTTCACCTGTCAAATCAACTGAAAATGGTCATATTAATGATGATGATGATGATAATAATAATAATAATAATAGCAACAATAATGATGATAACGTAGATCATTCAGACTATTCAATTAACAAAAGTGTATCTATAAAAGCAAAGTGTAAAACTACACATGCATATCCTCCACTACCACCTCTTTCATCGAATCGTGTTGATTCTCATAAATGCACAATCATGTCATCGAAATCAACTAATCATACCATGTCCACTGTAGCACCACTAATCCCTTTATCAACAGTAACAACGGCGACAACAACACATTTAATGAATGGTTCAAGCGAAAATATCGCATCTTGTCCAGTTAAATCACATCCTAATGAAATATTACAGGATGCTAATGGTAGTGTTAAGAATACAGAAAGTAATTTAAAAGATCTCTTACCACCTTTTTCATCAGACTCATCAGAATCAGAAGACAGTGAATCAACTACGGAATCAATATATCATCAACCACCAAAAGCTGCAGATCGTAGTGCAGCTTTTAGGTTGGCTAAAAGACTTTTTCATTTAGATGGTTTCCGTATAACAGATGTTGCCAAACATTTAAGTAAACGGTAAGTTAAAATCTCTTTGCTTTTTGTTGAATCATATAACTGAATACATTACTGTAATTTTTTATTGTCATTATGGTCAACTTGTTAAATGAAACGCTAGTTTATGCTATTTAATTGCGGTAACTTAATAGTTAAGGTAAGTACACGACTTCCCCATAAGTCAGTCACACTTTCAAATCTCACCCACATTACTTCCGTTTGGTCAGCTATACAAACAATGTGACTGAAAGCCGAGTACTACTGACTGATTGAGTAAGAATGCATCATTCAAGCGACTCAGATTAGTTTGACAAAATTATGAACAAGGATAGGAAATTTGAAATATTTCAAGTCCATGAAATTAATCATTATGTACATTTCATCTATACTTACGTCTTAAGTTTCTCGGCAAGCATAACATATTGGGACCGTAAAATCAAAATCCATTATTTCATATTCCCAACATAACGTCACGGTCATCAATGACTGTCCCATTCCTGATCTTAGTAAATTCCACTGGGTACAACTTTCCACTAAAACCCTGGTAATTAGTTGTAAGGACAACTATACACTGTGTTGGAAACTATTCAACTTAACTAATACAATAATTCCATCCATTGAATCAATTCCTTACCACCAGTTTTCCTTTTTTTTTAAAAAAAGAAAAATAAGTGGCAATTTTCAAGTAATGAAACAAACTTTTTTTATGGTGCTAACAGTTTTCTCTTTCTTGGTTATTTCTTTTGAATATATTCAGTACAATGTAATACTGTTCTTCCTGCTTGTTCTGTTCTCTGTCTATCTGTTTTTATGTATTATTTTCACTGATTATTCTTGTTAATAAACACATTGTTGTTAGCAGTACTTTTAAACAATAGATTAACTACTTACTGATTAACTATCATCTGTACTAATACCACTACTTTTAGTCGACATGTTTCTATCCTAGTTTTATAGTTTGTTTGCTGTAAAAGACAAAAAAGAAAAATAGAGAGAAAAACCGGATAAAAAGCATTGCTGCATATTTCTTTCACTGCCTTTTTTCCCCTTTTCTTCTGTTCATTCAACGGGCTAGTAGGTATTTATTAGTGTCTGGGATCATGTGTGCTTCCGTGTATACCATTCCTTGTTGTTCAAAACAGGAAATTGTTTAGTGTTTTTTTCTTGCTTTTTTACGTGGAAAGTCTTTTTTTTCTTGTGACTTATCAAAGCGATTTGTTAGTGATATGAATCTGTCGCTGTTCTTTCATTGAATGCTTATTTAAACATTCGTAATAATGTTTATAATAGTAGCAGTGCGTCTATCTGATACACACCATGATTTTTCACATCATGCGTCGCTTTTGAGGTATATATATTCAAACTAAGTCGTAAATCATGCTTACTATATAGTCCGCTTAATGTGCCATTAAATGACAAGTGATGTGGGATCGTGGATGCATACTGTTTGAGAATTGGAATACCAGGAAAAAAACACTATTCAGTGATTTGTAGTTTGCAAGGGTTGTTTAACTTAGATCACTTCGTGAACTATGATGATAAGCTACAGTTTTATGACACATGGGATATAAAATCAAAATAAATGCTAACCTGGTCATTATTAGATTGAGTTACTCAGGAATAATTTAAGATATCAGTATGAATATGCATTTGATTAAATTTTTATACATTATGTTAGCACACTGAAAGAGGGAAATATAAAGATGACGAACAAAGGATTTGAAATCAAAGTAACATCAATTATTTTAGAAACCGGATGTAATGAACGTATAGTTCTAAACAGACGAATGAAATAAATTTCAAACCCAAGATGTAGTTGGTCTCGATCTAATTCCCTTCACGTATCCGACCATATATTATAATTAGTTTGCTAACTTGAACCAAAAGGGCGGTACTTTCTAACATTCAATTATACATACATATTCAAACTTGACGAAAGTTGATATCCTATCACCAGCATATTTATAATTTTTACGATATATCAATCATTTAACTTGATCATTACTAATCCATTTGATTAAATGTTCACTGAGTAGATTGGTTACTTATTGGTTACAATACTCCAGTTTTAGTTAGTAGATCACATGTTTAAAAACTGCTATGCCATCTTCGTTATGTTCAACTAGTTAGTATCACTAGTCCTCACACAAAAATTGAGTCAAAGCTATATATATATATACGAACCAATGACATTTAAGGTCCCCCGAAGTGGGAAATACGATATGAAAGTGAAAATGGGCGCTTTTGGTGCGAAAACAAGAAATTCGATTTTCCTAAATGGAATTACGAAATTTACCAAGTGAGTTCTTGGGATCTAACATCCCCAACAGGTTCAGACCTGGGACTTAGTGTCTAGAAGTCTAATATCCCAATCACAAAACCAACTCTGAATAGTTCATTTATGTGTTTTTTTAAATAGATGAGCTCAGAGAAAACACCACCTGCAAAATTCTCCTCTTAAGCTTCATGAAATTTTTAAAACTTTCATGTTATCACTCTTTTTCCGTTTCGTTTTCAAACCTATTTTCACTTTTTTTCATCTGTAGGAATGATTTTAGTCAACTTGTCGGTGAAGAATTTGCCAGTTTCTTTGATTTCACCAATCAACGTTTAGATGTTGCGTTAAGATCATTTTTAAATAGTTTTTCACTGACTGGTGAATCACAAGAACGTGAACGTATATTATTACATTTTTCACGACGTTTTCACGCATGTAATCCAACTAGTTATTCATCTGAAGGTAAGTGGTATTTTTTTCAGAATTTCAAGATTTAGAGATTATTTTAAGTATATATCTTTTTTTGTTGTTGTTGAAAGTATTACTATGCAGTCACTTTATGGAAATGTTTGTCGTGGTAAACAGTAGAACTGTTGTAAATCTGATAATTAGTGTGTAATAGTTTGATTAGTCAGTCAGTCAAATAGATAGACAGACATCATCATAAAACAACAGCACAGGCGTGCATTGACCCAAAGTTGCTATGACACATTAGCGTGGAGAGATGAAAATAACATTGGATAACTATCTCGTTCTAATATGGGACTTCTCAGAAATGTGTATTCGCGGTCCTCACTACAACGAAATGAATCCACGACTTTCCATCTCACTCGAACACTTAGTCTCCAGAACACTGAGCCACCATCTCATAATGCTAATATCTAGCTTCGATCAATTTACGATATTGCTCGGCTATCTTCTTTCGCTTTGTAATGGATACCTGTCGCACATCTGATATGATTGAGCTCCATTGTTCACAGCCTCTCACTAAATGTCCAAAAGTCGGATCTTGAATTTTCATATAAATACCAATTATAGTATGAATCTTTAGTCTTATTAAAATGCTCACTGATAGCTTCATTGTATGTGGGGCGAGGATATTTGTCTTACATTTACGATAACGGTCACTACAATTGATACTTTCAACCACCATTATTATTCTTCCTCATAATCACTCATAATTTTGTTATATTATTAAAATTATATTAATTATATCATACAAGCATTCAAACTAGTTTCTCAGGTTATAACTGTTGTACCGGTATATTATACAGCCTTCTATTCAACTCCAAAATTAATCAGTTTTGTATGATCTAAAACTTTGCTTAACTTTCTAACTCTTAAATATATATTATTATTTATTATTTAAACACATAAATATTGGTACAATGAAGCACCAGATAAATATGCGCCTCACAAATCTCATTCGATTTGTGTGAGGGCTGTGATACTGCCCAGGTGCCCAGACTGAAGCAGGTGGTTTTTTTAGGGGGCCACAACCGGAGCCTTTGACCTGAATGTCTGATCCACAAGGCAGTGGAGCATCGTGAGGAGATGCAGTCCCATGGTAGTCGTTGACCAATGACAGGTTCGTCCGCCATTCGTTCCATCAGGATACTGGATCCCATGTGCACCATTGGTTTGGAATCAGTGTTTTCCAACTCCCCTAGGTGGACCCTCCGTGTCCACCAACCCGGTTAAAGCGCCGGACATTCGTTTTTCGTCCTCTCACTTTCGTAAACAACACCCCGCCACGAGAAGGCAGTGAGTAGGACTTCCCTGGCAGAGGCTATATATTCGCGTGGCCATGTGAGAGCATTTCGAGAGGGAGAGGTGACTCTCCCCACTCTCGGCCGTACCAGGGCATATATATATATATATATATATATATATATATATATATATATATATATATATCAGAAGGGGATTTGTGGAGATTTCAGTATATTTCAAAGTTGAAATGATGAGTCAATTGAAGCTAGACCACCATCGAAAACCTGGAAGCACTGGACGGCCGTTTCGTCCTATTATGGGACTTCTCAGCAGTGCGCACCCACGATCCCGCACTCGCGAGATTATACATATTATATATATTAATATTTCTTTTGCATTAATTGTATAACATTTCGAAATTTATCAGGTAGAGATACACTAACAAATTAATCTTTTTTGCCCAAGATTAAATCACCTATATTTCCCTCCCCTCTCTCTCTCTCTCTCCCCTTATAGGACTTCCTTTTAGTGTTTCTAATTTCCTTGATATTTCATTTTCTTTATTTCCCTTTTTTCCTTTCTCCATTTACTTCTGTCTATAATAATCATCAATCATATTTGTATATATGTGCGTGCGTGCGTGCGTGTCAAGGTGTTCCACAAGTTATCCATACAATTTAGATAAAGTATGACTGACGATTATGGTCAATAATAACAGTAATAATATAAATATTATTGGCACGTAGATCCATCACATTGTTCGTGATTCACACTGATTGATTGATTGGTTCATAGGTAGATAGATGGTTAGTACTGCTATTATTTATTATTACTATCAGTAATTAATCAATAGAGTAGGATTGATTATTTATTTGCTGGATTTTGTTCCTCTTACTGGTTCATAATCCACATCAGTGGTAGATAGTTATTTTTCGGACAAATTAGGAAAAAGAAAGTATAACCATTACTGATAAAATAAAATTCTGTTTAATTGTCTATTTTGCATGTGCGTCTATTCAGTCCTCGTGATTGATAATGCTGTGATGCCCACTTGTTTTCTGATACACAGATACGCACATACACGTATAATAGTTTTCTGAATAAGTAAATAAACAGAAATGCACAGTTACTTTTTGTCACTGCTGTACACAGACGATGATGTTTTTGTGTAGTTTATACAGTTATTCACTGTATTTGTGTATATGCATAGTTCGTAATGTGTACTTCTCACTTACGGTCTGTGCATGATTGAGCACTATGAGTGATTGTACGTACTCAGAAATATTAGCATAACAATTTTTAATTTCTTACACCTCTTGATGTGAATCGCCACATGCTTAGTTAATAGTAATATGAATCACATTCTTACCAGTACTACTACTACTAATTATTGTAATTATAATTACAACGATAATGTATTAATAATAGTTTCATTAAAATAATATGACATTGCTTTACTATGATAATCAGTCAGCACATTTAGCTACATTGTATACATCGCAATAAATAACCTAGTAAGATAGCTGAGTTTAAGTGCAGGGTACTAGAAAAAAATAGAAAAGATCTATGGACGGACAGTTTGAAATATAGCGTCAGTCCATCAAGTCATAGATAGTCGAAGTGTGCTGTGTTGGTTGATTCAGACTACTGATTAAAATTCGCGCGATTACCGTAACCAATGAATTAAAGCCTTATTTATTCGACCCAGCATTCATTGAACACTTTACTTCACTCAACTGGTCCTAAAGTCAATACACGGTTTGGAAAAGAGCATAATTATATTCCAAAACAAAGTCAGTCAATCAGCTACAGCGCAGGACCAGGCACATACTTCGATCCAAGTTGCCATACCTCATTAGAACATCAAGATGAACACCGAATTCATAGTAGTGTAGTAAACAAGAACACGTGTGGGGACCATCGAATGTATTTAAGCACAAATTACAAACCATCTCACTAAAATCTGATAACCATACAGTAAACAGTTAATTTGCAAAATAACAATCAATTGTCTCAATCTTCACTGTTCCTTCTGCAAATATCAGTCCATCTTCTCTGATTTCATTGTTCATGCATTTTCATACCGATTGCACTTCGTTCCTGTTCTTTCCTTATCTATCTTCTGCCGTAATACATTCTATGCCTGACCATCACCATATACTACTGATGTGGATATAAGTAACCCACACCACAGTAGTTGATTTAATGGTGGTAATATATAAAAGTGAGATTGTATATAAGGATATAGTACAGGAAGAAAGACAGATATAAAGCAATTTTATCTCATAGTTTAAGGTCAGACAAAGAGTATATACACCTACGCCATTGTGATCGTTTCCAAACCATGTCAGCCAGAGTCTCCAACCATTGGTTACGGTAGTCACTCAAACCATTTGCATCGGAATAAACAGTCTGCACTCGCGATCTGTTTAACGTCTGGGCAATAAGAAAAGGGTACCACTCTTTGTCTATTTAGTTAGTCAGTTGGTCATTCCTAACATAGAAACTGGCACATATGTACATCAGTTCAAGTTGCCACACTTCATTAGCATAGTGAGATGGAATTGTCAAGGAAAATCCCAAACTCGTAGAGATATTAACAGTATTGTTGGTGATAAAAAAGACTAGGCATCCAAGGTAAAATTCTAGAAAATATAAGTTAGTGACATAAAAGAAATACGATGAATTTAGAAATCTAGGATCTAATGGAATGTAGCGAATAAATGCACCTCTAGCATTGCGAAAGATTCTGAGTCATGTCGTCCAAAGTCTCCAATCACTGATCATGGTTACTACACGAATCCTGACCATATTGTTCGCAAGTGCTTACATAACTTTTTCCAACGGTCGATCTCTTCATAGACTGATACCAGGTGTGAGTTTGATCACTCCTTGCTTTTTTTTTAACCTACTCCTAGTTGCGTCGGGTAAGATGACTTAGAATTGGCTAAATGATCCAAATCCATTTTCTACTACTACTGAGACTACTACTCTAGGATTTGTAATAATTTCATCTTTCTGCTAATGTGATGCATCAACTAGAATCTAAGTACATATGTGCCAGGTTCAACGTTGCATATGAATGACCGAGTGAAATTGTTTAGTTTTGTTTAGTAGCTTTGATCATATACAAGCGTCATTCAGAACTCGTCACTTTTTTAAACTAGTCCATTCTTGTCAGTTTGAAATTCCTTGTCAGTATCTACTGTCAGCCTAATACTTACTTAAAACCTGTATTTTGTACAAATCATTATCTGCCCATTAGAAAATTAAGTCACTTAGTCAAAATTAAATGCATTATATCGCTTGAAATCAGTCATTTTTATGACTTCACTATGTTATACCTTTGACAGACATTGTTCTTTATTATAAGCGGAGGTGTTAACCCATTCTTTCAGTCCATCTATTTTATTATCTTTTTGATCTTCTTTCCTAACTATTTTTTTGTTGATAGAATCCTTAAGATAATTATTCATCATCAAAGTGAACATAACTAAATTAATTTCAGTTTCTTTGTCATTTGCTTCAGTGATGAGTTTTTGAAGTTTGTTTATCAAATTCTTGGCCACTTTCAGTTTGGTGGGATATTTTGGGTTAATTTTTAATCAACCACTACGTTTCCTTTCAACCAAACAGTTCAGAAAAGATTCCATCACTTTAGAGAATTTGATGTCAGATGTACTGTTGATGTTTCTTAACAGTTCGTCTAATGCATCTCATTATATAATGACGAAAGCGTCATCTACGTACTTCAACCAGATTTTTTGTTGAAGGGAACACTTTGAGACTATACTTGTTTCCAATGAACGCATAAATAATCTCCGGAGTTAGTTTATCAGGCCCTGATACCCTCCCTCGCTTTAGATTCCTCATAGCCTTTTCAACGTCACTAGGAGTTGGAGGACTCGAATTCAGGTTGCTTGAAGATAGTGTGGCTGAAGGTCAGTTGAACTGTTTTCTAGAGTATTCTGCCCATCTGTTCAATTTCATGGATTGAGAGTTAATAATAGTCCCATTTTTTATAAGGTAGTCTAGCTAATAGCCAGATTTTCAATACCCGTTTCCTTGATAAGTCTGAACAGTTGTCTACTGTTACCTATCGCTGCTGTCTTTTCCATCTCTTCTGCCTTCACTAACCACCACTGCTCATTATCATTATGTATGCTTTTAATCAACCTACGTTAAAGCTGCTTCCGCTCCCCATTGTGTTCACAGCCAGATGGGATGAGTTTCCGAGCATCTATCAGTTCTGTAGACACCTCCGAAATCCACTAATTTTTTCTAATCTTTTGGTTTAAGTTACTAGTAGATATCACTGCTGTTTCCACAGCCTTTTGAATATCATATCAAGCTACATATTAACTTTTTCTTCATTAAGTTGAACTCTAGTGTGTTTTCTTTCTGTGGTTTTTCTACCTCCAGTAGGACGAAGACAAATACTTGCTCGAACTAGAGCATTATCCGAGCCTAAATAAATGTTTCGAAATGATCAACATTTTTCAATCGAGCTCACCTACTGTGAAACGATTCGTTGAAATTTAGACGGAAGTTCTCATAAATCATACCCAATAGTTGTGGTTTTTAGATAGCATTACTCAAAATCAGTTACAGTCACATGGATTCTTTATCTTCATAAGATTTTTTTATTGTTTCAAGGTTTTTTAATCAGAAAATGCGCTCTTTTTCCTCTCTGTCTGCTTCTATGAGCAACTCATGTTTGACATTTTTCTGTCGTCAATCAAGTCGATAGAATAAATGAATTGTTGGTTTGATTTTTAACTAGAAATTCCAGTAGTATCCCTTTTATAATCAAAAACAGGTTTTTGATCATTGATCTCTTCGACTCGTCGCCCTTGTTTTGTGGGATGACCAAGTGAATAGTGTTGCAGTTATGACACTTGTTCAAAGTGAAAAATCGGTTGATGATAATCTAGTAAATCTTCATTGACTGAGGTTGATAAAACATATGTTATTTATGCCCAATCACCATCTACTTCGACGAGTGATGCTTGCTAGTTTAGAAATAGGTAGGAAATTAGAGGAGATCAAACTAATACTTGACATCAGTCAATAAAGTCAGTGACTGTTAGTCTGACCCATGCAAGTAGGTGCAGATTATCTGGTTGAAATTTGCATAATGACCGTTGTCAGTTTTTGGAAACTTTAGGTGACATCTTGGACTGTTCACTCTTAATCCTCCCCTCAATCTTGATTTCCAGTTTTCCTCCATACATATCTTTCTACTCTGTTTTTTAAAATCATAGTCCCACTACTTAGTCTTTCCTTTTATCATTGTTACTACGTTATGTCGATCTCCTTCGCAGTCTTCATCTCATTGTTTTGTCAACTTGGCCAACACACATCTGTACCAGACTCTATTGACGATATTTGTCTATTATCAGTTCGAGCGCACAACGATGCATAAATTGATAAAATTCTGAATAAGCAAGGTAGATAAGTGGTCATAACAAGTAACGGTGGTTAGTAATATCAATTCTTAAAGACTATCATGATATACATTTTAAAATATAAGCACAACAGCCATTGATGTGCTCTTTAAAGGGTCGTAATTTTATTGAATAATGGTTTTTACTTTTTTATCATACCTTAAATCTAACCATTAATTTTAAGATTTTTTCGTTAAATGTACGTCGTCTAACATTAATAATCAATTTAAAAAAAAGAATTTTCGCCTATATAGCTGGTGCTAGCGTCTATTTTTCACATGCATCAAATTTATGTTGCGGCGTTAAAGTTATCGATTTCGCTGCGCGTTCGTATGTCGGGATCGCCGGTTATGTAGTGCCGCGATTCGTTAATCGTTTACTTCGATAACGGTTATAATATAAGTCTTGACGGTGCATAGAATCAGAAGGCAAAGGGAAGCGGCAACTACATTTTTATTGATAAATTATGCAGACCAGATGGTTATGAGCAAATGTTAGCGAGCGAAGCAAGGATAATGCATAGAGGAGATGGCTGGGAAGCCAACACGCTATGAGCAAGCATTATTCAATATTTATAATCAGACAAAAATGAATGACAGACATATGATGAATAGGATACGAAGGGTACACATTTACACCCATATAAAAAATATAGTCAAGGTTAATAAGCGAATAATTAACAAGATCAAAATATGACTCAATGTATAGGTGAATTGGCTTGGCCAGTAGCTAGAATAAAGTATATGGGCTTAACATATAAACTGATACTACAAATTGATCCTGTGTATTAGATGGTCTTCACTCTACGGCTTAATCTTTACTTGTTCCCGTTTTTCAATATTAATTGACATATGCTATACAGGTGATCACAAATATTATTTGATCAGACACAAAACATTCACACAACAGGTTTATAATTAGTTAAACCACACAACCAAATACTATCTACTCAAGTTTTCACACTATTATGTATGATCGTACGTTTTTCAATACTTCAACTAAGCTTCTTTTCAAAGAAAATTCCATCTCATCATTGTATTGGGAGTTTTTGTCGAATTTTTAAGTATATATATAAAGGTCTTTTTTGAATGATAATTAATTTTCAACAACTCTCCATTATGTAATCCCTATCTCTTTTTTATTATTACTTCACAATAGATACTTGTCATACTTTAGTCTGTGCACTTATGTTACTCAACACGGATCTGCATAGTCAAGTAAGTGATGTTTTGTCTGATAATTGTTGATAAAGACATTACTATTAGAAGCCTGGTTTTATGGTCCTAGATTTATTCACTGATTTCACTTTGTCGATAATGCATAATTTGTGTTGAGTTGCGCCTCGATTACATAATGAGTTGTTCTGTTTTGTATGGTTGACATGTATCTCCCATCATTGGTTAATTAATTATCTGATTACATGACTCGTATTAACTAACCTCCATTGTTTAATTAACGTACGAGTAGAGTTTCTGTATAAACGTGATAGGCTCAATATGATATATATATATATATATATATATATATATATATATATATATATATATATATATATATATATATATTCAAACCTAAATGCATTCAGTGTATTCTCGGTGTGTGATTTTTATCTTTTTGTCTGTACATAATATAGAAATGGTGGAGCTATGCCTTAATGGTTAGGGTGTTCGACCTTCAGTCACTAAGTCTCAGTTTCGAACCCCTCTCCACCTACTTCGGTTTGGATAGCCGGCTAGTATCATTAATTCTCTTAACCAAATAACTGATAGTTTAATTTTGAATAAATTGAGCATTGGGTAGATTGTTATAAATAAATAATATATTTGTAATATCCCAATGAGTAGAAAAATTAGATTTTCTGACGTTTCGTGACTCAGTGTAAGCCACTTCTTCAGAGAATAAATACCCAAATTAACATTAATCCAAGTTTAAATAGTACAACGGAACAATCCAAGAATATTAGGTGATCAATCAAAAAACAGGTTTGAATAAATCACTTTTTTTTATTCAAACCTGTTTTTTGATTGATCACCTAATATTCTTGGATTGTTCCGTTGTACTATTTAAACTTGGATTAATGTTAATTTGGGTATTTATTCTCTGAAGAAGTGGCTTACACTGAGTCACGAAACGTCAGAAAATCTAATTTTTCTACTCATTGGGATATTACAAATATATAATTTATTTATGATAGTTTAATTGTTGTTCTTAAATTGTTACATGACGTACGTCACAGTAGGTTTTCCAGTTTATACCATGGTAGTATCGATTTGCTCAAAATTCTTGGCCACATTTTTCTCAAACATCCATTTATTGTCATAAATTTTACTAATTTAGTAATGTTTTAATTCACCAATCATACCTACTTTTCGTTATATATACAAACTATAATTCTTTCTGTAGTTGACTTCAGACACTTCATTTATTTATCAAATCGAATAGAAATCCACTTTGTAACGTCTTGTGTTTTTCTTCTCAAAACTTATACAGTCGTTTACACACGTATATATAATTAATGTGGGGAAAAGTTTGCTTATTTGTTAGGGTATAGGAGTTTAAGTTGGAGTGAAATTCGTAGACTTAGTTAGTTACCTAACTAATGAGTAAAATCAATTAATCAGTAGTGAATCATCAAATCGAATGGTAAAATATCACAAGTATAAAATACACTAGCAAACTGTAAAATAATATAAAGTTCATTGCGTGATGTGATTATTGTTCAAGGAAGCAAATCATGATTATTTCAAGTTAGAACAGAATTTTGATTTAAGATGACAAACTATTGATAATAATTATAAAATGAATAAAGATTTAAGCTACAACCCACTGCACAAGCTAGTGGCTCTCTGGAATCAGTGGATAACGCGATGGCGTTTGAAATGAACGGTACTGCGTTCGAGTCCTGGAGAAGACATTAACTTTAAGATGCATGTACATCCAGCTCACGAGTCCAAAACAGGATGAAATATTCATCCTGGGTTCAATGGCTAGTCACCATGCATCTTTGCTTACTAATGACTTTATAGTTTTGCCTTTTCCTTGACTATATGATTTTGAGATGTACTACCTAAAGTGATAGGTAATACTTTTTAATAAGTCGTCACCTATGCATGTAGCTCCAGAAGGGCTAATATACAGATATATGTACAATACTACTAATTCTCACTCAAACACTGTAACCCAAAACCAAGTTCATAAAGCCTGTACATGGTTAGTGGGCGACATTAACGAAGTCTAAAAGTCAGGTCCTAATTCAATGGCTAGTTGATATCATTCAGTTTATTATCACTTCTAATAATGTCATTTTCTTGTCAATAATTTGTATATCTGAATGTTGCCTTATTGAATGAACAAAAATTATTCTCCCAGCTAGTAGTCCTGTCCATACAACACGACCCGGTCTCGTTGGTTTTTATCACTCTGGCACATTATATCTATCTGTCGAGATTCTGTTCACCCATAATAAAAGTGTAAAACTCGTTCGTCATTAAACATTATTCCTTTCTCAGAAAAACTTCATAGGATATATGTCTTTGTGACTCAGTAATAGTCCGCACAATATATATTACCCTTAAATCATATATATACCTTACCCTTTCTGAATGGTTCAATCTATCACTGTAAAATCACAGGGAACATTTGCACAAGTAACTTTTTAGAAACTTATCGACCAAATTGTAACAAAACCAACAATCACGACAATTTAAAAATTTTGCCAATCCATTTCGGTTGGAATAAAATGTGGTTTTAATTTATCATCATTATAATCAAACTAGAGCTTGGCGCATATGTGGTTTGCTAAGTTACCATATCATACTGGCATGACGAGATGAAATTAACAGCGCGAGTGACAAAAGCGGTCGAAATCATGTATTAGCAATAATAATTTTAAAAAATACTAAACTTAGGAATGTTGTTCGAGAACGTACACATTTGCTCCATTATGACCGATTTTGAGCCAATATTACCCAAATTCTCTAACCACTAATCACACTTAACACTGTAATCTCAGTCAGGTAGTCTGCTTCTGTTAACATTGCTCAAACCAACTCTTATTCGTCAAATTAATTATTCATTTTCTGATGTTTAAAATAATGATTCCCTTAAAATCTTATTAGGAACATCAATAATGTACTGAAATACACGTATATCCTACTGAAGATTCCTGAATAACTGAATGATGCACATTCTATAGTCGAGAGATAGACATAACTTAATATAATGATTTTCATTCGTCATAAGTAGGAAAGTTCCAGCCCACCCCACTGATTTCGTTCTATGCCAGCTGATACGAATAGCATCACATAGCCCAAATCTGAGCTCATGAACCCGCATTTTAGTGATTCATTTATAAATAAGTTACTTCCCAGTAATAACTATTATTATTATTCATTTAGTATTGTTTGTTTGAACCTTCCCATTGATGTGTTGGGACTGTAACTGGTTAGTCTCTAATTGGCGTATGTGCATACTGTGCGTATTGCCTCGATATAGCCTGAATTCACAAGCATGGTAAGCAAAGATGGATAGTGGCTAGCAGTGGAATCCAGGACGCGCGTTCCGTCCTATTTGGGACTCGTCAGCTGGATGTACCTGCATTTCAGAGTTGATGTTCACTCTGGGACTCGAACCCAGTACCTTTCGCTTCAAATGTCATCGCGTTATCCACTCGGCCACTGAGTCCTGATAGCCACTTGCTTGTGCAATGGGGTGAAGTTATGTTCACTTGATGTTGTATATTTGTATTGGGTTTGAATGCCATAGTGAACATCAACTCTGAGATGCAGGTACATCCAGTTGACGAGTCCCAAATAGGATGAAACGCGCGTCAAACTGTATTCCACTGCTAGTCACTATCCATCTTTGCTTATTATTATTATTTATATCATTATCTAGTGATCATTTTTAGTAAAAAGACTAATCTACCATACAATCGTTAACATTAAAATTTATGTATATCTTGAATTCTGTCATACTTTAACTATGAAACACATTTGTTAAATTAGAATGTAACAAAAAATCCTTGACTATGTGTCCTGTTTTATTTCTGTACTGTAAAATGTATCGAATTCATAATAAATAACCATTAGAAAATGATTGATTCTAGTTTGGAAATAAACAATTAATTCTTTTACCTCGCTCTCGCTCTATATGTCTCTTTCTTTGTATTCTTCTAAGTTATCCACTCCCTCTTATTATCCAGACAAAAAACGTTTTAGCTACTCTTTCATAATTACTCTTCTTTTCTTCTACTTCCATAGTTACTAATGATTAACTTCACAAAAAGTTTCCTATTTTGTTCATTATTAATACTGTTCACATTTTTTTTATCAGAAAAACAATTAGGGGGATCATATCATACATAATAATCGCAAGGGATTTGTGGAGATTATTGTAGCTTCCATCATAGACTGAGTTTATTTAAACATTCTTTAAAAACCAAAAAGCAAACCAGTGGGTCTTAAAAACATTACATTTGGACCACTGAACGAACAATACAAAGCTTACATTTAGGTTAGGTAAAAACGATAGATAATACTGCGAATCTTCACTAATTAAGGTGCTTGGGATATGCAAAACATATTTCCAACTACCGCCTACCACCATGGACTATGTTTGATTTTGTAGAAGTAAACTAAAAGAAGTCTAGGGGCTGCCACTCCATAAAATGATGTCAATCAATCGAGTCACCAGCAGTTGGAGTGTTAGTAGTTTCAAACTATTTGGTAGAATTCCGCTCGATTATTGTAACCAATCGTTAGACATGTTAAGTGATGTAGCTCAGAATTGGTCTAAATAAGACAGATGCATTTACAATTTGTCCAACCTCAGATGTTGAGTTTCAAAGTTATCTTTTATTGTTGATTCTAAAAATCTGTTTTTATCCTCAAATCATATCGTTCCTACATAATGCTTTCTACTAATACTGTTACTAATTTTAATTCTGTGCTCATGTAATGTAACGACATTGGTTGATGATATCATGTCCATTATATTCAACATTGTTTTTAACTGAATATCCATCTCATCGTAGCTTTTTTCGACTTTTTCATCAGTACGCACTGACAACACCAGACGGAATAAAGAGGATGAAAAGACTTTACATTTCTTGTTAATTATTATTTTATCGTTTGCATTAAACTAGTTTCAAGACTTTTCTAAATCGAGCAAATTTTTTTCATTACAAATAGCAATAAATTGTTTAGAATCACCGTTTTATGTTCAATAGATTTTGTTCTCTTACATCAATTCTTTCAACTAGTCACTTCAGGACAGTTCAAACTTTTCATACGTTTTTACGACTTTAATAATCTTTTACATCTATCTCATTCGATAAATATTATGATAACCCATATTTTTAACACGTTCAAAATTCTATTATACTACAGTGAACGAGTGGGGACAACCAAATGTATTTGACGCGAAAATTACAGACTATCTCACTAAAATCTAACAACCATATGGTAAACAGTTAATTTGCAAACTATCAATCAATTGTCTCAATCTTGACCGTTCCTTCTGCAAATATCACTCCATAGTCTTCGATTATTATCGTTCATGTATTTTCATACTACATGAGTTTCGTTTCCGTTCTTTCTTTATCGATCTTATAGTAAAGTACATTCTCTGCCTGACCATCGTCATATACTACTTATGTGGATGAATCGTTTTTTGATATTGTTTGTTAAATCAGTTTCCATTTTATTTGTTCATTAGTTTCGCACATCTCCTTTCTCTTATTAATGTTCTATGTGAAGCTGTATGTAATCTAGGTTTGCAATGAATTCATTATCAAATTGTATATTCGTTGAATATAAAAACTTCCTGGCACATTTGAACAGGGAATCTTTTAAGAAATTTCAAGCAATTTGTCCATTTGATAAATATATATATTGTAATTAGAAGACGAAGATTACCAGAACTATGTGATATCAAAAGTTAGACAAATATTGAAAACCAGTGCAGACTGAGCATTTGTTTCATCCTCGCATGGGAACTTCTCCGCTGGGTATTGAACCCAGGCCCTTCAGGTCTCTCAACAATTGCTTATTATTTGGAATGCTAAAACAACTATATATATATATATATAGTTAGTTAGTTAGTTAGTTAATTAATTAATTAGTTAGTTAGTTAGTTAGTTAGTTAGTTAGTTAGTTAGTTAGTTAGTTAGTTAGTTAGTTAGTTAGTTAGTTAGTTAGTTAGTTAGTTAGTTAGTTAGTTAGTTAGTTAGTTAGTTAGTTAGTTAGTTAGTTAATTAATTAGTTAGTTAGTTAGTTACCATTATTTTAATTCACTAAATGTTATGGTATTTCCCTCTTTTACTCTCAACCTTTTCCGTACTTTCTTGTTCTCATCGGTGTATTAGGGTATAACAAAGAAAATGTCTTGTCAAGATTTTGTTAATAATCTAACTCAAATGAATTGTGGAGATAATTTTTCTAAAGAAGATTTGAAAGCCTTATACAATGCTATTAAACAAGAACCAATACGTTGGCCTCAGTAAGTCAAACTGTTTGCCTTTTTCTAAATCTATAGTCCAGTTTTGTTGTTGACATTTTCACAATTGCATCAATCCTCCTTTGTTGTAATATTGATGTCGAAATATATCTCGTAGTCTTACCGAAGTTAGTACATGTTGATATTTTGTGAAGTGGTCCAAGTACTGAACTAAAAGTGATCTTTCAAGTATAGCCAGCATTGCTACCTTGATTTAATGGCCGGGCTTGCAAACCACGGTGACTCCACTGAGCCTTACTGGGTGGAACATTTGTTTATGTCGTAGTATGTCATGTAGGTTAGTAAAAATAAAAACAGTGAACTCAAGGCTCATAGGTAGTCTTACTTGAGATTACGCAGAAGTGTGATAAAAGCGGGATTTTTCTCTCGGACACCTAGTATGTACGGCACTCCTATCCCCTCATAACAGAAGACTGAGTTATAAAGGGTTGGTCGTAAAAATAATCACACCTCACCTTGCCCTCACAAATTTCCATCACCAGCATTAAGGTCTTAAAAATATGAAGGTAACGCTTGAAGAACAACTCACGAAAAGGTCATGTGTGACTAGCCTCAAGCTGTTGTCACTTAGTCTCTGTGGTCACGCTCCCATATCACCGATACCACTACTAACCCTGTGTCTTTTTCAGGCACCGGAAGAAGAATTATCCTTCCATATAGTGACCAGCCAAGAAGTGACAACTGCCCTCATACTTCAAACAGCAGCACTCAAAACTGACTAACTGATTGAGAGTCAATGACTGCATCTACTGATTTGTCTACTGTATATTACGTGGTATATGAAAGGTTTTTCCTTAAAATAAATTATTTATTGCAACATAATCTCACACTATCTTTCATTTTTTTACTCTTCAGCTCTGATGTAAATATGATGGGTTTTGTTAATTTATATTATCCTGCACCACCAAACGCTCTTGGTCCACCAGTGGTAGGTGCTCCAGTAGGTGGATTTCTTACAGCGGCCAACTTTTATGCACCGAATCTTCCTCAGACACATTTTATGTTTAGTCCATTGCAAAATACTGCTTATCCTCCCATGATTTTCCCACATGTAGCAACATCTCAACTAAATGATAATACCACTATCACATCGAATTCCTTATCGTCAGCACTATCTCCATTGACTACTTCTCAACTATCGTATTCATCACCGAATACTGGAATGTCGCCACCTTTCTATTGGAACCCGAATAATTTCAGTACACCATTGTATGATGACCAATCAAATCCCGGTGTTGTATCATTTATGAATTCAAATCAGCTAGATGCTTCTGTTTTGCCAAATCCTTATACACCATCATCGGCTGAACAACTTCGACAACAGGTATTACAGTTAACTCAAGCAAATCGTAAACTGAATGAGTCTTCTGGGCTAAGTCCTTATCTAGATGTAAGTTTCCATTGCTGTTATCTTATAATCGATTCTCTTATTGTTTATTTTTAAAACCCTTACCTAGTGAGTGTTAGGGATCTGTAGAAATTCTGGAATCGTATAGTTCACATTACGAACTAAATTCACTTTAAAAACCATTGGAAACCAGGATACATTAGACAACTGTTTCATCCTAGAATGAAACTTCCCAAGAATTAATTAAATTTGGGGCATTCGCGCCTGTGAACCACTGGATGCGGATTCAGTGATATAAAAGCTAGACATTGGCGGTGAAACTCATTTTATCCACATTGTGATCACAATTTCTCACTTCCAAGCAGTCTGATGAAACTGTTGTCCATTACTTCCTAATCGTTAATGTTCGCCTAATTGAGGTCAGTTTTTTATGTAAACTATAAAACTGCTTAGTCATTTAAACACTTTCTCTACCTGTCATTTAAATTGTCTATTCATGTACAACTTGAAATCTCCTGGGGTCGGTGTACTTTTTTAAATAACTCATTCTATGGTTCCCGTGTTAAAATTATTCTAATTTTTTAACGTTTTATTGTGTACCCAAATTTCTATCCTACTTTCAAGAGGGCCGTCAGTATATATATATACGAAATAGTAATGCGAGTTTCAAAATGCGCACGCGCCTGCATTAACGATTGAAGACAGAGATTTTTCTTTAAAGAAAGAAAATTCATTTTCCCCGTACTTTGGGTCGATATTTTGGGAAATAATGCATTTTCTAATAGACAACCATTCAAATCACAGTAATAATGAACAGTTGTTTTTAGTCATACTATTATAATATGCGATCAAATAGTTTTTATACAATTGTTTACCCACATACACAAAGAGAGATGTTACATTGCGTGAATCTACCTACTGTACACTAAATAAATAAATTGTCTTAAGTTTTCTTATGTATAATATATATTATTAATTTTGTTGTATAGTTTTACAGAGCACATCATTGTACCTACTGGTATTTCAGCAATTTAAATTTTCACTATTAAGTAATGAATATAAAAAATCTGAAGACTCTGCTAGCCCCCAAATACCCTGGTACGACCGAGAGTGGGGAGAGTCCGCTCTCCGTCTCGAAATGCTCTCACATGGCCACGCGTATATAGCTTCTGCCAGGAAAGTCCTACTCACTGCCTTCTCACACTAGGGGTGTTGTTTACGAAATTGAGAGGACGAAAAGAGGATGTCCCGCACTTTAACCGGGTTAGTGGACACGGAAAGTCCACCTAGGTGAGTTGGAAAATCCTGATTCCAAATCAATGGTGCACATGGGCCCCAGTATCCTTTAGGGAACAAATGGTGTATGAATCAATCATTGGTCACCGGCTACCATGAGACGGCATCTCCTTACGATGCTACACTACCTTGTGGATCAGATCTATAGGTCAAATGCTGGGGGTATGACCTCCTAAGAAAACCACCTGTTTCGGTTTGTGCACCCGAACAGTATCACAGCCCTGACACTAATCAAATGTGATTTGTGCGGCGCATATATATCTCAATCCGAGAAAGCGGCAAATATATTTGAAACAACTGTGTATGACCGCCAATCACTCATGAATCTATTCACATGGACTGTTTCCCGTATCACTCAGTCCCAAAGTGAGTAAAAATATATCGAACATATCATAATTCTTTATTGACCTGATATTTAACTTTTTATCCATAGATACAGCATTTAAAATACTATTTATTTTCAGAACAACAGTTGAACATAAACTGAAACCATTTAAAATGCTAATGAATAGGAGTTCCAAAGTTTTTCCATCTTAGTTAATTTTCCTTTTACAACACTGCAATTGGCATTTTCTGATCGTTCAAGACCAAGATTTTCTTAGCATCCATTAAATTTGATATTGGTGTTTTGCCTGTCTAAGATCCATTAACCAACATTTTCCGGTGAAAATAAAGTGACCGTTGGTCAGAATCTGAAATACATATATACCTAACGATAACCTAATATAATTCACTACTCTTTAAGGCGTATTCGGCTAATTGTTTACGAAGCAAGCAATGAACAGTTATACCACGTTATCCTTTGTAGGATTTAAGAGTTGTTATATCAGCTGATAGCATTGAATGATATACACAAGCGACTAAAATTTTTACCACATATTTACGCTTTTGACAACTATGCTGGACGACGTTATTTTCTTAGGCGTTCTTTGATGAACACATATAATATTCCTTTTGATAGGAAATTTCGACAAGTCTCCGAGTTTCTTTGGATACCTTTCGAAATACAGAATTAACTGACGAGTATTTCACTAAATTTGATAATTTAAGATGATGCTATTTAGTCAGTTACGTAGCTTGATAACACTAGTTGAAGTGATTAGTCGCGTTCAATTCATTATTTTTACAAAATAAAATACCACCTGCTCTGTTGTAAAGTTTTAATTGATTAAATTTGTATATTTTTGAAAAGATCTATACTGTAAGTTGTGCCGAAGTTGGGCGAAAAGCTTTTAGCCTAAAGAGTAAGCAACACTAGAAATTAATGACCTTATATGACAAGCTATATTTCTCTTCCTGATGTATCAAAAGTACTCCCAGTTTCATTGATAATAATATGCTTCTTTGTCAACATTAATATTTGTATGTTCAATCTCAGACAAGTGTCCAACTGTTTTTCTTCAATTATCAATAATTCTCCACATCTTATCAGTTTTGTGCTGAGAATTGTCTTCAAATTAATCAATTCGATTAATATATATGAGTTGTGACATCATATCTGTCCGTTTCATTATACACGATACTACACACATAATTGGAAATGTTTTACAAACAAGTAAGCTGTTATGTCTTGCTTTTAGTTTGTTGTCGAAAAGAAAACAACCACATTTTTCTCAGAACACGGTGATTATAGTCGATAAACACTTTTGTAAATGATGTTACTAATTAAGGTGATGCATCAATAATAATAATAATAATAATAATAATAATACGGGACAATTTTTGTTAAGAAGATGATTTATTTGTTTTAGGTTTAATGTATATAAACAATGTACATCTATAGTGTTATGCTTGTGCAATTGGTGATGAACATACATGCCTGAACACCGATTACCACGACGCGCTATGCTGACTAGTGTAGGGGATGGTTGGAAGAAAAATAGGGGCGGCCAAACCAAGACGTGGCACCAGTGTTTGAAGTCACTAATTTCTAGTCTGTGCCATGTTGGCAGATGCAGACTACTTGGCTGGGTTTGGCGTGACTATCGTAACCAATGGTTGGAGACTGGGTGAAATGGCTCAGAGTCGATCACAATGGCGTCGGTGTATACACTCTTTATCTTCCCTTAAACCTTGAGATTAAAATTGCTTCATAACTTTCTTCCTTCCTATACTATATCCTTATATACAACCAATCTTTTATATGCTACGACCACTAAATTAACTACTTCTATTAATCCGGTGTTCCTCTTGTTGTGCTAACGAGGTATGGCAACTTGGACTGATGTATATATGTGCCTGAATCTACGTTGCAGCTGACTGACATTAAAAAAGTTTAATTATTTCTAATCTTTATATACATCAAAAGTAATTTGACATTTTCAAATAGTTAAAATGGAATTGAATATGTGTCTGTGAATTTGTAATGAATGTGCTTTTCAAGTATTCAATATGTGTGTGAGATCTAGTATTTCTCCGTTCATTGAGGATTTTATTTCGAATCCTAACTTTCAATTGATTTGCTTTTTTGATCTGCCACGTTGGAATACTCTTCAATAGCTTGTTCACAGAAAATATATGTAAGTACCTTTCAGTGATTGAAATGAAATCATTAGTGGAATGACACTCTTATGTACAGAAATGTTATACTAAATGAACAGAAAAATGCTACTTTTCTCAAACATTCAAAAAAGATTGATTATTCATACACAATGAAATTACTCTTTTATATTTTTTGAATATAAAAAATGTATTACAGTTAGTTTTATTTGTCTCCAGTATCATGAGTGAACAAATGGCGTGTGAATCAATCGTTGGTCACCGGCTACCATGGGACTGCATCTCCTTACGATGCTCCACTGCCTTGTGGATCAGACCTTTAGGTCAAAGGCTCCGGTTGTGGCCTCCTAAGAAAACCACCTGCTTCAGTTTTGGCACCCTATCAGTATCACAGCACTCACACAAATCGAATGAGATTTGTGTGGCGCATATATATCTGGTGCCATTTTGTACCAATATTTATGTGTTTAAATAAATAAATCTGGTGCTTCCTCTTTTCGCTCATTTCCATTAATAGCTATCATTTTCTTATTCCTTGGATCGTCTCACTTATTTTCAGTGTTTTTGAAAACCTCAGTATTGAGTTTCTCTAGCGAACGCTTGATTACGTATTACCAAACTAATAAACAGATTCTTACCAGTCGATAAATCATAAATTGTCGGCTAACTTCCTCAGTAAAAGTATACATGTCAAAAGTGATCCACTGCCACTAGATACGGAAGCAAACTAAGCGAAAGCTTCTTTTATTCAATTCAGAGCGATTTCAATCGTTTAATCTCTTTGTTACAGGTTGTGGTCTGTGCACAGTTATAGCCCGATCGTTGCCGCTACCTTGACGTGGTGGTCGGGCTTGCCTATCGTGATGAAGCAATCGAGCTATGCTGTCTGGAACATTCGTTCCTAGAGGTCCTACCATGCCAGACAGGTCATTTGAAGAGCGGTGAGACTAAAAGCAGCAAACCCAAGGTCCGAAGGCGAAGTCGTACTACCCACTATTACCAGACAGTCTGAATGGAACATTGAAGTAGGCCCCCGACCCTACTTAAAGTTCAAAAAGCTATAAGTAATCTGAAACGAAGAAGAGCAGCTGGTCCTGATGGATTGGTTCCAGAGGTCTTTAAATATGATGGTCCAATTTTAGCGATTAGGTTGTCTAATATTCGTGGCTGTACCGACCACATATTCACCATTCATCAAGTTTTAGAGCACAGACACGCTTATCAGCGTCCGACAATGATAGTTTTTCTTGACTTGAAAGCAGCATTTGACTCTGTAGACCGAGAGGTTCTGTGGCGATGTCTGTCATTGAAAGGTGTACCTCAGAAGTGCATAAACCTTGTGAAGGCTCTTTACTCGAACTCTATTAGTCGAGTGAGAGCTTATGGCGAACTGTCATATGATTTTACAACCTCAAGTGGTGTCCGTCAAGGCTGTCCACTAACCCCATTTTTTTTAACTTCATTATAGACCTGTTGCTGGAAATAACACTCGTCGACTGAATTTACAGGAATTGATCTCCTACCAGGGGGACCACTAAGCGACTTAGAATACGCAGATGACATAGTCCTGTTTGGTGAAGACGCTGGCAAAATGCAGAGTCTTCTGTTGGAACTCAGTAATAATGCCAGGATGTTTGGGATGCGTTTCTCCCCATCCAAATGTAAATTGTTACTCCAGGACTGGCCTGCGTCAACACTCGAACTAAGGATAGGAAGTGAAGTAGTCGAACGCGTCGATAACTTCACTTATCTTGGAAGTCTGATTAGCCCTAATGGGTCGGTGTCTGAAGAAATCTCAGCACGGATTCAGAAAGCTCGTTTGGCTTTTGCCAACTTACGTCACCTATGGCGAAGACGAGATATCCGTCTATCAATTAAAGGACGAGTATACTGCGCAGCAGTTCGCTCTGTTCTACTTTATGGCTGTGAATCATGGCCATTAAGAGTAGAAGATACTCGTAGGCTACTAGTATTTGACTACAGATGCCTTAGAAGTATTGCTCGCATCTGCTGGGATAACCGGGTAAGTAATAGTGAGGTTAGACACAGGGTATTAGGGAACGATGGTAAATCAGTTGATAAGGTGATGAATCTTCATCGACTGAGATGGTTGGGCCATGTGTTACGTATGCCTAAACACCGAATACCACGACGCGCTATGACGACTAGTGTTGGGGATGGTTGGAAGAGAGTTAGGGGCGGCCAAACCAAGACGTGGCACCAGTGTTTGAAGTCACTAACTTCTAGTCTGAGCCATGTTGGCAGATGCAGACTACTTGGCTGGGTTTGGCGTGACTATCGTAACCAATGGTTGGAGACTGGGTGAAATGGCTCAGAGACGATCACAATGGCGTCGGTGTATACACTCTTTATCTTCCCTTAAACCTTGAGACTAAAATTACTTCATATCTCTCTTCCTTCCTATACTATATCCTTATATACAACCTTTCTTGATATACTACCACCACTAAATTAATTACTTCTATGAATCCGGTCTTGTTGTGCTAACGAGGTATGGCAACTTGGACCGATGCATAAATGTGCCTGGTCCTACGTTGTAGCTGATTGACTGATATATATCTGGTGCCCCTTTGTACGAATATTTATGTGTTCAAATAAATAAATAAAAATAACTAACCTAATACTACTATTATAGGTACTGTTTTGTTGTTGATTTCATTCGATAGAAACTGAACTCAATTTTGAAATAACAATTTCATAAATTTTAATCAATTAGTTATTTCGTTCGTTATCATTATTCACCTATCTCTGTTGTAACTAAAAAAGAGGGTTTTCAATAAAATCCCTTACTGATACACATGGAGTTGTTCTTTATTTTGTTGTTCTTTTTTTTAGTTAACGGCAGAAATCAACGCTAAAGAATATATGCGTGGTTTATTAGCTCGTAAATGGGTTATGGAGTCGTATAAAAAGAAAAGTATGATGGTTTCACTTTTTTTCCCTCTCTTTTATTGTCCATTCATATCATCATTATTATGTGAATAAGTGTTCTTTTGTATGTTTCCGTATCCTGTCATCATTATGTTTTTCGAGACAAGCGTGATTGTAAAGTATATTTCATAGTTGTTTTTTTTCGAATAGTCAACATTTGGATTGTAGACAGAAATGATCCATTGCAAAAGACAATGTATTTTAATGTTATTAGCTCAAAAACTTACAAGGTCTATCAAGGATATTTACTCCTCAATGGTGACTAGTTTATACGCGATATTACTCAATGAAGGAATTGTTATGGAGATTATTTTGAAGTACTGCAGTTTACTGAAAATATTATGCATTTTTTATCCGTAATGCCCTACTGTTTACAGTAACCTCTATTTCTATCCTTTAAGGTTCGTACTTAATCACTACTCACTTACACCTGTTACCCCTCTTGAAGGAGCATATGCCGCCCGCTAGGATTCTTCTTCTAACTCTCTTCTGGACAATCCTTTCTAATTACTATTCATTCTTTTGGTGTCTGCCTGCAATTCCCGAAGCAATCTATTTTTTGGTCTTCCTCTTTTTCAGTTTACCTTCACGATTCCTGGTTAGGGCATACCTCGTGATGCAGTTTGATTACGTCCTTACTTCATGCTAAATAATCTTGAAAAAGCATAGCTATTACTATCACTGCCTCTACGAAAAAACAAATTATTTCAATTGTTTTGTATTGAATTTAAATCAGATAATGACGATGATACTTCTGTGGATTACTACCACACCAGTAACATGTGAGGCAGTAGTATACCAAAAATATTTCAGTTAATTAGATCATATTGTCTATAACACTAAAAACCTTGTAGATGGATATACGAAGAAGATTAACAAGTTGTTTACAAGTTTAGGAATTTTTCTAGACGACTAATATGGAATCATACGAAAAAATATTTGTTAAGAATGTGGATGAGTTTTAAACTTGAAGAATGATACTCATTTATGACTTATAGATCTGTGTACTTGGCTTCGAGCAACACTGTAAGTATAAGGGTCAGTGATACTACCCGATTTCCCATATAAAAGTAGATAGAACAGAATTTGAATTCGCAGCTTAGTGGCTGAGAACTAGATACCGTAGCCACTGAACCATTGCTTCAAAATTAAACGACGAGCTGTTACAGCAGGGGATTTTCGGCTTTATATGACAAATCTGGATATTCCATGCGTGTCTTTCAGTAGTTAATTCTGATAAACTAAGCAACCCACATGTACCAAAGAGTTAATGTTAACAGAAACATATTGATGCCAAGAATACAATAAAAATCTTCATGAATATGTTTATAAGTTGTGAACATAGTTAATTAAATACAGTTTTCAAACTATTTCTCTGTACGTTTTTATTCTTCACTATTAACAACAGTTTTTTGAATAATTCCAATAAAAGATATGCTGTAGATTATCTGAAATGCAAAAGATTACTGAAAATATTCGGTATATCGTCAATATAATGTTGTTATATTGACTGATATCTCTAATGGAAAGCAAGTTGAACTTATTATTAAATTAAAATTAATTAATTACTAAACTGGCACCCAACAATTTACCTATGTAACTTTTACTAATTAGTGTTATTGTTCAACCGAAGGTCCTTGGTTCGAGTCCCCCATGCGGAATCGTGGATGGGCACTGTTGAGGAGTCCCATACTAGGAATAAACGGTCGTCCAGTGCTTTCATGTTTCCAATCGTGGTCTAGCTTACATCTACTCAATAATTCAACTATTAAAATTAATAAAATCTGATCAAAATCATATAAAACAACAATACAGCTGAAGATCCTAACTTTCATAAAGTTCTAAGAATATTTTAAACAACAGAAATAGAACACAGTGAAGTATAGTAACACTAGTGAAGAAAGGAGTATTTCGAACTTATTTAATATTTGCCCAGTTTTTTCTGGAAAAAAACGGTAACAATAATAACATTTTCACAGTTACAGTTTGTGTATAATGCCTATGTGCTAATATTTGTATGTTTTCCATCTCAACCCCACCCACTATTCTCCCTTATATCTCTCACCGTAATCTTATTCAAGCTCCTGTTGGACGTCGTAGTTGGAAATTGTATTATGCAAGACTACGTGATCTTGTCTTATATTTATATAAAAATGTAAATATTGCAAATAATGCAACACATGCTGAAGAATTACACAATCTTTACTATCAGCAACAACACCAATACCAACAACAAAATTATCTACAACAACTTTTTATTCAACAACAACAACAACAAAGACAGCAACATTTTCTGTTAATTCAACAACAGCAGCAACAATATCAACATCTTCAACAGCAGCATCAACAGTATCTTCTACGTAAACACCAATCTCCTGATGATGAAGAAGAGGAAGTGGATGAGGAGGAGGAAGAGGGAGAGAATCATGGTGACGATGATGTTGGTGTTAACGCTAATTCCCATTCTGACGGTAACAATAACTGTACTGTTGAACTCTCCTCTTCATCATCATATAAGAAGGACCATTCGTGCGTAGTAGCTGATACTGTTGGAAATCAATCTGAGTAAGCATTTAACTATATGTATGCATGTTTTTATATATGTATATACATATGTATATGACCACCTGTTGTGTTGTTGATGAAATATTTCAAGTTATATGTTGATTTTTCCCACTAATATTGCCTTTTTCAACTGATTAAAGAGTAATGTGTTTGTGAAAATTTTAAACATTGTACTGATCATAGTTAATGTTGAATATTAGTTTACTCTCTAAGATGAACTGTTTATTTACTTCATGATTGTCTACTGAATGTATCGGTATTATACTGTTTCATTGTTATCCAATAGACTGTTGAATTAATGCATTTTGAAATAGTAGAGAAGATTGGTAGCCCAGGTCATTGATTTAGGTGGAAGTCAACTATAACTAATCACGATCAAGGTCGACAGGACAAGCTGTGAGTTATATGTAGAGAAGTTCGAATACGCTACTTCTACCTGAAGTTTGTGCTGATGATTCTGTTCAGAAAAACAATAAAAGCCTCATGACCATACTATCCAGCTCAGAGAACAAAACTCCACTTAAACCAGAACTATTTATGGACAGATATTATATGTATATTCTTAATGTATAATTAGATTATATATATCTATACTCCTCTTATTACAAGCTTTATTTTAACCTATAAACTATTATTATACAATTTACCGTTCTTGAGTCATCCCCAGTCTATGAATTACAGTCTCCCACATTCGCAATCACTTTCGACTAGATCTTGTATAAATGTTATTTTCTATTTTATGGTGCGATGTGGTCTGTTTGGTTTGTATATAAACTCAGTATGTTTGTAATATGTGATTCATATTGCGTATTCTTCTGCTAGCCGCAATCCAGCATTCCTTTTTCAACTTAGGACTAAATAGTAAAATCATAACAATCCACTTAAGTTACACATATGCCAATATACAGCGAGTAGTTATAGTCCTTTATATTGACAACAGGAAAATACAAATAAAGTGTATCTATTACCAAAAAGCATTTGAACGATAAATATTGAACTATTATTTATTACAATCATTATTATTCTCCAGAATTGGGAATATGAACGACAATGGACTCACTGTTTTGTCCATCGGTAATGATGATGATGATAATCTTGATGATGCATCTACATCAAAACAATTGACCACTTCCATAGAAAGTCAACAATCGTTTAACACTTCCGAATATACTGTTGAAACTGTAGAGAATTCATCAAAAGAACATATGAATATGAATGATGATTTAGCTACAACAGTTGCACAAAACTCAATTGTAACATCAATCAATTCCACTGACACTATGACATCGTCTTTTTCTACATCTAATCCAATACTGTCTACTCCTTACATTACAACACAACATCAGCAACTACCATCAATTCAACCAATTGCAATGACTACTACTACACCGCCGTCATTTGTTCCACCGTCCATCCCACCACCTGAAACAATTATTCGTCTAGCACATGCTTATGCATGCAGAGCTACAGACTATGTGAAAAAATCCAATGTATTCCGTTTACGTACGAAAGAAGGCGGTGAATTTTTGTTCGAAGTCAAGTAAGCTCCTTAGTTCTTTGGTCTCTTTGTATATTATTTATACCATATAATAATTTGTTACTGGGTCGGTTTTCTCCACTTGTTCATGTTAAATTACTTAAGTGGTATATTAAAAGCAAGATTTTATTGAAATCACGAACTTATCTATGTTAGACAATTAGGGAAAAACTGGAAAAACACTGAACAGCCATCTCATTCTAATATAATTTCTAATGGTTGTTCAACATTGACCGGTTCATAAATTCAATAAAACTCAATATTCTCCACAACCCTATACTGATCAGTGAAATTATTAGTGAGTAGTGATGAGAGTGTATGATTTGGTTTAATAATCAATATTTATTTAATGATATTAACAGAATAAACAAAACTGATAGTTGGGAACGATCGTTTGACAACTAGACTGACTGACTAGCTGACTCTGTGATGATTGTAAAAATAACATCGATTAATAATTGAAAACATAAGTCAATTGAAGCTAAACTACCAGAGGAAACCTGGAAGCACTGGACGGCCGTTTCGCCCTATTACAGGACTCCTCGGGAGTGAGCATCCACGACCTTGCCTCGCGAGATTCGTCCAGTGCTTCCAGATTTTCTTTGATGGTCTAGCCTCAATTGACTCATGCTTTCAACTACGAAAATACTAAATCTCCACAAAAACCCCTTCTGATTATAGATTGATAAATTTCAACTATTTATTTTCATTAGAACAATAGTCCTTACCCATCTTCCATTTAGTATTGGAATCAGTTGTACTTCTTCATATTCACTAGCTAACACTTTTGGTCGGAAATCCTATATGAAAATTATTGGTAGATGTTTTCTGTCATTTGAATATAGAAGGAACTATATCTATCCTGAAATTTTTATGCCTCTTATTTACGTCTATTACACCCCATACAGTATAGGCCACCGATCAGGATTCGTTAACCAACTCCGTCATGGACTTTCTTTTCTAGTTGTTGCCAAGTGCTTTTCATTCTTTTGATGTCTGCCTCCAGTTTCTGGTTCAATGTGTTCTTTAGTCTGCTTACTAAATATTTTCTGTTAAGGTGAGCTCGGAAATGACTCAGTGGTCAACCGGATAGTCGTATCACTAGCCTTCATACACTTAAAATGTGACTGAAAGCTAAGTACTAATCAATGGGTTAATAAATAGAATATTATGACACTATATTATTCATAAAATCAGTTATCTTGATTGCTATTTTTTATAAATTCATTTTTAGTGATGCAAAAGAAGTAGATATTTGGATTGATCGAATTAATTTTGTTGCAGCTCTTCTATCTGCCCCATCTTTAGCGTCAGCCGTTAGTTCAGAGCGTAATTTTCACCGACCTCACTTACCTGCGACATATACTAAATTAAATATGGTAAGTAGTATGTATATGTATGTAAATAATCTATTTCTAGTTTGAATGATTTTTGACAAGCACTTTTTTTAATCCTTTGGACAGGATCGGGTCGTAAACCTCAACTCCAACTCTACCTTTACCCCTTTAGTTGGGAGCTGGCAGTAACCTTAAGATAGGTTCAGACAGACTTCATTGTTTCAATTCTTACCAGTTTATATTGGTTGAAATAAGGTGTTTATTTCATTTTACCATTAGTGATTAGAAGAGAATATCACTTTCACTTAGTACCGCTATTACCGGATCACCGATTATCTAGATAGCTTCATATAAAGCGTGACTTTTAGTGCCCCCTCCTTTCAACACTGCATGAATTCCATACTTGGTTCCAGTCTCTGTGATATTTGTCCTGTACAACGTGCATTTCTACGCTTCTATTTGATCCGTTCGCTTCCGTCGATACTTTACTAGCCTTCAAATCTATATGATATTACTAGGTGTTTACACACATACGTTTAATTTTATTCAGTGAAGTATATCAGAACTAATTGCAAATGGAAATACTATTTTATGGGTATAAATGTGTACACCAGTTTGCAGGCATAAAAACGAATCTAATAAATCATCGACATTACATTGTGTTTATCGATATTTTATCCTAATCTGAGGGATTCTTAATAGATAAAGAATCACAAACACACAGAGGAGTAAATCAATCCAGTATATGGAAGTTAGAGTAATCAAAATATCTGACTCGGTGTCCACTCGTCTACTCCCTTTTAGCGATCCTCGTTTGAGGATGTTATCAACGTGTCCCCCCTATCCATTCGATTAAGAGTGATAAGTTTGAGAGCGTAGGTTCGTTATTTCATTTATACTATAGAAGTGCTTGAATGACTTAGAGATGAATTGCCAGCTATTATTGATCAAAAGTCTCTCATTCAGTAGCGCATATAGCGTATAGCTGCAGACGTTAAATGGCACCCTAAAATCTGCCAGTAAGTTTATTCAGACAGATGCACACTCTTATCTACCCAAACGCCGACGCCGTTTTGGGATCCGTGTTATAATCAAAATCAGTGGTTAAATACCTTTCTTAGTCTAGTTCCATTCTTGATTCTCTCTTCCAATTTTCATTTCTTACATTTTATCAATTTATTTCATTTCTCCTCTATCTTTAATCTTTTTCATAATTATTTAAACTGTATTCTTAAGTGATCTTGAGAATTTCACCTCATTATGCTAATATGTTGTTAATTTGGCCTAATGTTCACATTTATGGCCATGTCTTGTACATTGATCATGACTTATGACTACTACTGTCTGGCTTAGTTTTCTGATAGCTATAACACTCCGATTGTCTAATTTATTTTCCATTATCTTATGTAAATAGTTCTAATAAACTAAAGAAGATTATTACTGTTTTTTCTTTCTCTTTTACTCTCTAAAAAAGCGTGAACAACTTGAGGAACATCAAAAACGTTTGTTAGAATTGGATCAAGAATTGACTGATTTACGTTCTCGTCTACTTGCCACCTCTGTTAGTAGTAGTGGTAGTAGTAGTAAAAATCGTAAAGTTTCATCAACTTCACAATCACCATCTCTTGATGAAACTGTGAAACCATCATTATCTAATGAAGATAATATATCAACTTTGGAAACTGTTACTACCACCACTCCTACTTCTGCTACTAATGTTAATAATGTAAACACTGACGTGTTATATACAGCTGCTGGCAGTTTGACCAATACTACTACGGCAATAACGACTACTGCTACTCCGTCTTCCTCAGTAACACCTCAGTCACAGTTGAACTCATTAAAATCCAATGAAACAATCAATACTAGTGCTCCATCGACATCTATTCCCTTCTCATCCAGTTCATTCATGTCCGTCTTTTCAACAGGTAGTCTAGGCAGACGTAGAAAAGGTAGTAGTGGTTCGTTAAATTCCAACAGTAACACAACACATGGATCCGATGGAAGTAGCGGTGGTCTTATAATCAGTGCCAAACAACGTGCGGAATATGAAGAACGTATACAATTCATGGAATCTGAGGTAAGTGTGTGTGTGTGTGTGAAGGTTGTTCCTACAAAATATTAACGAAATTTTAGCATTTCCCTTTGAAATGTTTTCCATCGTTTATTGTTATTATCATTGACATTGGGCGTGTACAACCGTCATCCGTAACTCTGTTGTTTCACCACAACGCAAAAATGGAGTTAAAAAAGTTCGACACTGAAATGTGCACTCTTCAGATTTTTCGGATTTTCGTCGCCGGCCATAACGCTTTGAAAATACTGAGCTAGCATACCAAAAACTACTTTATAAATACCATGTGTTAATAGGCCTCAAGCAGTTTTACCTTGGGCATTGCGGTCACGCTCTTAAGTCATCAACACCATCTTTAACCCAGTTTTCTTTCCTAGGCACATCATAGTGAATTATGTGCAACCCGGAAGTGACACAACTACCTCATAACACCACTTGACAAAACACATTGAAACATAGTTATCCACATCACAAATAACATGTCGGTGAAATTATTACAGTGGAATTATCTCATTCGTCTCTCTTACAACATAAAAATAAGAAGGGTTTGGAATCAGCACCAATATCAATGTATATTATGTTTATAATGTTAAAAATAATATTAAAGGTTCACTATTTTACTTTCTACTGACCATATATTTCCCACAAACTTTAACAAAAATTCAAAGCAGTTGAAATTGAACTCCTCACAGTAATAAATACCATTAATCAATTGAAGTATGATCTAGACATTCGCTCTAATACACTTTAATAATAATAACACAATTTAATTAATTCAGTATATACATATTCAATCCAATCTGTCTCTCTGTAATATTCTAAGTGCACATATTTCTTTGCCGAACACTCCAATCACTTGACCGTTCGTAGAATAGATACTACTGACGGATGATAATTAGTTCTTTGATGTATACATACTAAAAGGCTAATTCATTTAGTATTGTTTGTTTGAATCTTCCCATCGATATGTTAGGACTGCAACTGGTCACTCTCTAATTGGCATATGTGCATACTGTGCGTATTGCCCCGATATAGCCTTAATTCACAAGCATGGTAAGCAGAGATGGATAGTGACCAGCAGTAGAATCCAGGCCACGCGACACTTCGTCCTATTTGAGACTCGTCTGCTGGATGTACCTGCATCTCAGAGTTGATGTTCACTTTGGATAATGCGATGGCGTTTTAAACGAGGGTACTGGGTTTGAGTCCCAAAGTGAACATCAACTCTGAGATGCAGGTACATCCAGCTGATGAGTCCCAAATAGAACGAAGTGGCGCGCGTCAAACTGGATTCCACTGCTAGCCACTATCCATCTATATTAAAAGGATAATTATTTATTGAATACAATGTGTTCTAGTGTTATTCTATCATAACTATCTAAATAACTTTACTTGCTTAACTTATATGAATCATCGAATGAATAAATGTTATACTGATTAGAATATTAACCAATCATTGAATCAATGTGATCACTGATAATAACTGAAAGAATAACTTGTGTATTTCGATTAATTCTCAATGGGATTACTAACAATATTAATACCCCCACTGTGAATGATGTTACAGTCTTTCAAGATAGTTAATTGATGAGTAGTTTATGTTTGAAATAAATTCTATTGTTAACCCCTTAAGCGGTTACATTAGTTCCCTTATTCAATATACAAAGTAAATTTGCTTACGCTATCTTCTTATGCTTATGCATACATACATCCAATGCACATTTTTCTCCATGATTTAATCGTATGCATACATGTGTTTTATGTATTACACACAATAACAGACAAGTATGGTGATTTCTTTCCCCTTTATTTGGTATTCAGTTACGTTTGTTAGTATTCAAATTAATCATCGCACACATGTACATCTTAACCATAGGAAATTAATATATATCATACTGTAATGTATGTGTATGCATGTTCTTTCCATTTAATGTTAGCACTTTTGGAAGTTTTGGCTCCATGTTTGTATATAGATGATTCTCTCACAATTACACAATTACACATTCACCAGTAGGGAAGGTTTCCTTTGGTATAAAATCTTAAAGTGTTATTTTTCACCCCCTTTGGTGTTGAGTCACACACGTGTCTATACACAATAATACCTCTTATTCAAAAACGAAGAGTGAAACTGAAATGCGCAAATCAATATTATCAGGGAGAAATAAAGAAAACTACTTTCAGTGGAAAAATCAATTTGTCATAAGATTTTTTTTCTCTTTTCCGACTTTTCACTTTACAGCTGTATGTATGTATGGGTATGTTTTCTTCATGAAATTGTTTTTGGGGCAAAAAGACTTCAAAGTGAAATTTCATCGAAATTTGATAGTACAAAAAGCATTATGTAAGAAATTTACCCACTGCAGCAATGTGTTAGTGTTAGAGGTTTATTTAGTCAACTACTCTACTGTGTTTATTTATTATATTTTATTTAAACACATAAATATTAGTACAAAGGGGCACCAGATATATATGCGCCACACAAATCTCATTTGATTTGTGTCAGGGCTATGACACCGCCCAGGTGCCCGGATCGAAGCAAGGGGCCACATACATAGCCTTTCACCTAAACATCTGATTCACAAGGCAGTGGAGCACCGTGAGGAGATGCAGTCCCATGGTAGTCGGTGACCAACGATTGTTTCATATGCCATTTGTTCCTTCAGGATACTGTATCCTATGTGCACCATTGGTCTGGAATCAGGGTTTCCCAACTCCCCTAATTGGATTTTCTGTGTCCACCAACCCGGTTAAAGCGCTGGACATTCGCTTTTCGTCCTCTCAATTTCGTAAACAACAGTAATACCACGAGAAGGCAGTGAGTAGGACTTCCCTGACAGGCTATATACACGTGGCCATGTGAAAATATTTAGAGAGGGAGAGTGTACTCCCCCCACTGTCGGCCGTATCGGGGCATTTGGGGGCACTCTACTGTGTTGTAATTAACGGATCTATTGATCTTGTGAAGGCAGTCATAATCAGATTTAGGCTTGTGGAAGAAATAGAAACAAAGTTTTTTTTCACTGAGAAAATATTTTTATGCTGTCCTTTTTATCAACTCATTCACCAGGTATAAATTTGTGTACTTATTCGGCCTAGTATTATTTGGATATTCCCAAATAAAAACACTATTCGGATAGGATGTAGATATAGTCCAAAGTAGAATATAACAAGTTAAGCTACAAAATCCCACTATATTTATATATAAACTTTACACAGGAATATTGCAGATTTCTTTACCTCATTTAACAGAGCTAATTAGTTGAAAATGGACCAATCAGAGCGCTTCAGCTTTATCCCATTTGAAACATGCTTTGATCAAATCTTTGTCCTGCTAAAAACTTGACTTGTATTTGAGTCTGAGGTCTATTTAATGATTGATACTACCTGGTTACTTGAATTCGAAGTAGGTGAAGTATGGTTTAAACCTTTCAGTTAATGGATGTAAATTGAACAGCTTATTACTACTAACACACTAATCCACATTTGTATACTATCCTACTCTCTGATAATTTTTAAGAGGTAGCATTACGAGGAAAGTAAGAGATAATAGCCGTTTTAAAACAATTAATGCATATGATTACGAAATAGTACAATTCGACATTTAATTCCTGTTCAATGAATAGATCAAAATATCTTTTTCTCTTGTATACTTTCTGTATTTCCTCCATATAACAAAATCAATTGTCGCAACTGCTATACTTAAATTTACTTGGGCTTTTTTTCCAAAAAATTTTTTCCGACCACCAAGCTCACACTACTCTCTACATAAATGGTAGATAAAAGCTTTTTTGTTTAAATTTCAGTGAATAAAATACATCTAATCCTGTCCTTGTATATCTATTTATTTATCTACACTACAGAATTGTTTAAAGGGGTTGGTTGGTGTTCTTATTTATTCTATTTTCTATCTCTGATACTTTAATCTTTTTAGTAATTGTTTTTGCCAACAAAAAGATGAGACTTGCGAGACTTTGCTTTTTTTTCGGCTTCCTTGTATTCTGTTTATTCTATGCTTTTTTTTCTAGTCATAGATATATCTTTAATTTACACTTATCAGATCTGCTTTCGTTACTTTCTTACTTACCTAACTAATTGTTTACCTCGCTGTGTATTTTTAGACATGACGCCATATAACGTCATAGTAGAGTTGAATCGTAGCTATCAATGAAATTCAGGATCCATGTTTCGTTCTATTCGTGATTCACTAGTTAGATGTACCTGTACTTGTGTTAATTTTCATCTTGTAACTCGAACTAGATCATTTTCATTTTAAAACCCCCACTTAGCTACTGAGTTTAGATATCTACTGGCTTGTGTCAAAGTAGACTAATTGATTAAAGTCCATGACATCAGTAACTGAACAATTAAAACAACCCTTACAGATGAATTATTGTGTGTCTAAACAATTGTTTGATTGGATAAGATCCTGATACTTTTACTATTATCTAACAGATAAATTAAATTCAATCGATGTTGCCGAGTTATCAAGTAATGCTTGATGTTTTCGGTTTTGAGACACACTTCGTATGTGTGTGCTCGGGGGCCTAATGATAATATCTGGCAACCTTAAATGACATAGGTAAAGCTAGGTTTCAACCTCCTGTCCATTAATTAAATCCTAAGTGCCTTAACCGTTGAAGATTTTAAAAATGGTATACAACTTTATGTTATTTGATCGGAAGTAGTCTGCAGGAAACTTTAAACTTAGGTTTGTGTTGTCCGGCACTCATCAACAAGCTGTATCTGTAATTTCACAGTCTGCAAATTTACTTTTGTGTTATTTAGCCTTAATTGACCTTCAGTGAAATTACGATAAATTAATTAATGACTGACTGAGTAGTAGACAATGTCATATTTGTCTAATACATATCGATTGCTTGAGTGCGTGCCCTGTTTGTATATGAACGTTATGAGACTGCCTATCAGAGAGCAGTGATTTATCGATCAGAGCAATGATACATAAAAACTTTATGGGCAGTCTTGAGTACTTATCAGTCCTGCTTTCTGCCTAGCCCAGCCAGTTAAGTCCAAAACTGCAATATGAATCATTATTCTCAAACATACTGGGTTTATATACCAAACAAACTGACCAAATCGTACCATAAAATAATATTTGTACAAGATTTAGCCAAATGTGGCTGTGAATAGGGGGACAGTAATCAATAGACTGGGGATCACTCAGGAATGGTAAATCGGATAATAATAGTCTATGGGTCAAAATAAAGCTCATGATAAAAGGGACACGAATATGAATAGTTTAGTTACTCAACAACTATACAGTAGGAAATATACATATCATATTGGTTCATAGATAGTCCTCAAAGTTACCATTCATAATTCTCCACGTGATACAATTCTGTCGATTTATCTGATACAAATAAAGTAACTTGTTAAGTCGGCTTCCAGCGAACTCTAACAGAGCCTCCATAGGCTCAAAAAGAGCCCCAACCAATCAGAGTACGACAGAACATTCTGGAGTTCCAACGTGGCATGCTACCATTGGTAAGTAGCAATTTATGTCGTTAATTGGATTGGCTGAGTTAGGATGTTGATTTAACTTAAGCAAACATCTATAAATACCTACGATTTTCTGTACAAAAATGAACCTTGCAGTAAAGCGTTTTCTCTGTCACTCGTGTCTTCTCTCTGGTCTTCAAGTCGCTGAGTAGTGCTAGCCCTGGGGTTATCTGAATAGCTTAGGATCTGAATAAAGCGTTCAATCTAAAAGACGTATGATAACTCTCATAGTTACTCGATTTCTTTTACTTTTATTCGCGATTGAATATGCATTAAAAATGAATTCGTTAGTGTCAAATTTTCTAAATGGCATTCTTTACCTTCATCGGGATAACCACCTCTAGTGTTTATTTACTGTTCCAACATATTTCGATTTTTGTTTGCTGTTGATTATTTTGCTACTTGTTTCCGCTAAACGTTATTTATTGTTTTTTGTCTTGGAAATATTTTAGGTTCAACGGTATAAAACTTACGCTCGTCTCTTAGAAACAGAGCTATTCCGTCTACAACAGTCTTCATCAGTCGCTGCTTTGGCTGCGACCAATCCATTTGTTCCGTATGTCGGCGGTGGTTATCCCAATCCTATGTGTACTACTCCCACAGTTGGTGGACCAATTCAATACAATGCTATCAATAATGCATTACGGCCAAATATGAACTTTCCTATTATTGGCTCATCGCCTGCTCCACCGCCTCCACCAATGTATTTTGTTCCTACTGGATATCGTGATCGAAATACTAGTGCCTCCACGGTTGTTACTAGTCGTGGTACATCAATTATGACACATTTAGCGGTATTAGGTCCTCAGAATTCATTGAATGAAGAAGTTGTAAAAATGACAACAGATCCTATCACGTCTCTTTCGACTGCTACTATTACTACTTCTGCTAACATTACTATGACACTATCGTCTAATAATAGTAATTCATCGAATGAATTGAATTCTATCGACAATGATAATACTATTAGTCCCGGTGTTAATGTCACTACTTCATTAGCTTATCCAGTGCAATCTCAATTATTCCCAATAAATAATACTAGATATAGAACATTTGTATCACCATATTTCACATCACAAATACCATCGATCAATCCGTATTCACCATCTGTCAGTGGACGATTTTATCAACAACACCAATCTAGACGATTACGTTATTCTTCACCATTGAATAATCTATATCATCATCAACAACCACAGAATGTTGTTATCAATAACACTACTACTAATAATAATAATGGTCGTTTTAATGGTTTAGTTAATGGATTTCAGTTAACTGAAGAAGATTCATTCAACGATAAACTCCTTATTACTCCTAATACTTCCTCATCGAATAATAATTTGATCATGAATACAATCACAGATGATATGTCGTCCACGTGTAAAATTGCAAATGACTGTGGTAATAATAGTAATAATAAGCTTATACAAAATTCCCAATCAGTTTGTTCAACAAATGGTCTATTTTACGAGATTGTATAATCGGTGTTATAGGCATTACCACCATCGTTACTATGTTGTTTCGTTTTCTTGGTTATCGTAATGCTCTCTCTCTCTCTCTAAAATCTCTATCTCTTGCCTTCAATTATTTTTAACTTCTGTCAAAATGTTTTATTTTGGTTTCAAGTTTTCTCTTGTTATTATTGTTTTCTGCGTATACAGCGTTAAATGCGAAACCCAGCAGTCAGCCACTATTACTATTAGTATGTAATGTTTTATTTTGTTTCACTAATGAAAATGTTAGCTTTGGATGTGGATCGTATACAACAATTAGGTGAAGTTAATGTGGAGCTCAAATGGTTGTGTTTATTTTATCTCGTTTTGTTCATTACGTAATGTATGTGTGTGTGTGAACATATTGCCATATGTGTTACTAAACCGTTTGATGTGTTTGTTTATTCGGTGTATTCTCAACCTCTTAATCTTATTGATTCAATATATCTCTCTTAGTATGTGAGCTTGCCTATGTAACCACGTGCCACATTCATCATTTTCTAAAACCTCTGCTTACTGTCTTAATCTTTTATTGTCTCTTATGTCATCGTATTCATATCTTATCTCTTTTCTTTACTCAGGTGTATGTACGTCACTGTATAGTCAATTCTTTTTTTCTGAAATAGTCATTACCTTCCACCAAACAAGGTATATACACAAGATGAGCATTTTTTATCTCTACATTGTAAGTCAAACTGGAAATTTACATTTAACCGGTATTCATTGTTGTTCGTTGAAACACTCTAAAATTGAATCATCTTCCCTCTTTTTTTTCTTCGTCTTTCTATTCTCGTACATATGTTGTATATGTTCATGTTAATTCGTTTGTTTACACGGTCATCATCTAGTCATGTTAATTCCTTGCATTCTCCGAGGTTTATGATTTCAATATTCAATTGATCTCTTTTAACAACACTATCATATCTGATTCTTTGCTCTCCATGTCGTTTTCAAATTTTTTGTTTGTCATTCAACTGTATTACACTGTTTTTTGCCGCTTATTATAAATTATGAAAAAACATTGTTCAATGTCAAAAATATGAATATTATACATTATCATGATCGTTATCACTTTTTTGTTCATTTAATTGTATACTTCCCTTTCCCCCCCCCTCCTGTATACCAGTACTAATGATTCCATAATTCATTGAATATCTCTTTATTGAGTTGTGCAAAGGAAGAAATTTTATTTTTAGCTTGCTATCTACATACTACTTTTAAATCTCTATATTTATTTGCATTAATGAATGAATGTATCACTGAAATGCTATTACTCTTCATAATACTAATTAATGACATTATTATTGATACTTTATTGTAAAGTTGTAAATGTTTCAATTTTTTGTGTGTTTTCTATTCACCACCCCGCCTACTTTTTGTTTGTTCAATGTTATAATTAAAAGAAACATAATTCAAATTTTTTTTTAGTTGTGTTATACTTTTGTATAACTTCAATTCTGAATTCACCAATATCTCTATCTCACTATTTATTATCATCATTACGAACAACATATACATGCACACATTCACACACATACACACAAAGCAACAATTAGTCACTAACGCGTAGAAAAAAATTTCACTTTATTATTCATTTGATCAACAACAATTAATGAATATGACTGTTGCTTAAATCAATCAATTATTGTTCTTCTTATAGTTATGATTACCAGTGAAATAGACAAAAAAGAGATAATGAATAAGTTGCTGCTGCTGTTGTCTTGGTTGTGGTTGTGGTTGTTGTTGTTGTTGTTGTTGCTAACCTTATTTCAATCAAAGAAATTTATATTGATCATTTTATTTTTTTTAAACCTCATCTTTTTATTGATCAATTGTTTTTTTTTTCTGTGTGTGTATTCATTTCTCTAGTCTAATATTATTCATTGAAATACAATAAAATTGACTACCTTGATTTATATTATTATTCTTTTGTTTTAATGAAGAATAATTTTCTTTTTCTCATTTTTTTTGACCAAAAAAAATGATAATGAAGTACAATGTTGCGTAATAAGTAGTAGTTCTCTTTTTTTTCCTTTTTCATAGGCATCGAATAGTAACAATAATCTGGTGTTTGTTTGTTTGTTGTTGTTGTTTTAATTCAATAGGAATTTCACAATTAAGCGATTCATATTACTATCCGGTCTTGTTTTCTGAACTGTCCATATATATACATACATATATGTTCGTGTCTTAGTCACATACACACACACTATTCCCTACTCTCTCTCTCTCTGTGTCCCTCTCTATTCTACAATATTGATTTATCTTTTTTTATTTCGTTTATCTTTATCTACATTGAAGAATATATATAACGCACATATAAATTATGATGACATGAATAGTCTTTCTTTAATAAAACTAAAGACTAAGGTAACTTAACTTAAGTGGTGAAAATAAGATAAGAAATACAAAGAAAAAATGTTGTTCTTCTTTTTACCTCATTCAATATCAATGACGACGACAACAATACTTCTGACATGAACAATTTTGATTAAAAGTGCCTGACAATCATTTAGGTGTTCAATAGTTTTATTTGTTTGTTTGTTGTGTTTTTTTTTTAAAAAATGAATTTAATGTTTATTTTACAATTTAGTGAAATTTTGTCACTTTTAATTATTGGTGGTGTAATGTTTATGTGGTTCTTCCTCGTATCCATTCATCCACGCACCTAACTACCCACCCTTCTTCTCAAAATGAATTACACACCATTATGCCAGTGAATGGATAGAATCTATGCATACAGTACAATGGTATTTCTTACAATCTATATTTCTTTAGTTATTTTATCAAAATGATCATTGACACATAGATTTTAATAATAACAATATATATTTAACTGTGTGTGTGTGTGTGAGGGGAGATGAATGCGTTTTGTATTTATTCTTAATTTCTTTTATTATCGATATACTCTCCTTTATGTGCTTATATATATATATATATATATATATATATATATATATATATATCTTTTAATGTATCCATTTTTTTAGTAAGATATCCTGGTGACGTTCTCTTTGACTTGACTTTCATACATCTCTCTGTCTTCTAGTTCTTTTTTTTACATTTTTCTTTCTCTCAATTCATTACACGTTAACATCTTATGAATTTTGCCGTTACATTTGAAGTTGTTTTTTTTCTAACTGTATATTGCGTAATCCAAATTTATGTGAATATATAAATAAACACCTATATATATACATATATGTTTTTTTCTTCGGTGTGAATTTGGTTTTCATTTTGTAATGTATGAAGTGAATGAAATCTCTTTCTGGATTTGTTTTCTATGTTACATAACATCTTTGTGTCGAGTTACGTGTGTCTCCCTTACTTAGAAATATGCGAAAGTTTTAAATGGATTGGTTAATGAATAGTTTTATAATTGTCAGTCAGTCAGCGACAACGTAGGACCTGGCACATATATGCATCGGTCCAAGTTGCCATACCTCACTCATTAGCACAACAAGATGAATACCGGATTCATAGAAATAGTTAATTTAGTGGTGGTAGTATATAAAAGATAGATTGTATATAAGGATATAGTATAGGAAAGAAGAAAGTTATGAAGCAATTTTAATCTCAAGGTTTAAGGAAAGATAAAGAGTGCATACACCTACGCCATTGTGATCGATCATAAGCCATGTCACCCAGAGTCTCCAACCATTGGTTACGATAGTCACGCGGACCCCAACCAGGTAGTCTGCATCTGCCAACATGGCTCAGACTAGAAGTTAGTGACTTCAAACACTGATGCCATGTTTTGGTTTGGCCACCCCTAACTCTCTTCCAACCATCCCCTACACTAGTCAGCATAGCGCGTCGTGGTAATCGGTGTTCAGGCATACGTAACACATGGCCTAACCATCTCTTTTGATGAAGATCCACAATCTCATCAGTTGATTTGGCATCATTCCCTTATACCCTGTTTGTAACCTCACTATTACTTAGCCGGTGATCCCAGCAGATGTGAGCAATATTTCTAAGACATCTGTGGTCAAATACTAGTAACTTACGAGTATCTTCTACCATTAATGGCCACGTTTCGCAGCTGTAAAGTAGGACAGAGCGAGCTGCTGTTTAGTACGCTTGTCTCTTAATTGATAGACGGATATCTCGTCTTAGCCATAGGTGGCGAAATCTAAACGAGCTTTTTGAATCCGTGCAGAGATTTCATCAGACACCAACCCATTAATGCTGATCAGACTTCTAAGGTAAGTGAAGTTGTCTACGCGTTCGACTACTTCACTACCTATCCTTAGTTCAGCTGGTGACGCAGGCCAGTCCTGTAGTAACAATTTACATTTAGATGTATAATTGACCTATTTCATTTTCATGTGAATTGATAGAAAACAAGTTGTCAGTTGGTTATATGGTTTATGTGGTTGAAACTGTATCTTAGTTTCGACAGAAACGAGTTTTTACTATTTAAATTGAGTTTATATATTGATCAAATATTGGAATTCACTTCAAATGTGAAAAGGGTAGATCAAGTGATTAGTTCTGATCTGTTATTATTCTTTTTGATTAGCAAATTCAAGCTTCGGTTTGACCAGATGGTTGAGTATCCCTAGCTCTCATACAAATTTGTATGGATTCATTCGAAGTACATAAATCTGTGTCAGTCCGTTAGTTTGCCTTAGATATATAGCCGGGTTTCTAACTAACCAATACAGTTGAATGAATAACAATATCCAAACTTCTACTTCAATATTTTGATCCCGTTAGTAAATATTCATGGAATTTTCCACTAAGTTGTAGTTTTGAACTACACTTCACAAGCTTTGATCTCTGTAGTAGTAGTAGTAATGGTAGTCCCTATATACATGCAAAATGTATGACTTGAAGCTTAGCATATGAACGTGTACTTAGTTAATAAGCTATATTAATAACAAAATAGTAATCGCTTAATTATGTATAAATATAGACTGAGAAAAACTGAACTATACCGACAATCTTGAACGATTTATTAGCTAACTAGAGAACAATGTTTAATTATAAAATAATATTGTGGGTAAATAGTTTTGACATAATTAATGACCACTCATATTTATGATAAACGAAAAACAAACACCCTGTAACTATGCTGTCAATCACACCAAATACTGTCAAACATAATTCACTTTGTCAGTATGTTTCTTTTTTGTACTTCAGGTTATGTATGTATCGTGTCCCAATCACTGTGTAGTTGCGCGAAAAATATTTTTATCAATTGTAGACATTTTGTAAACTGGATTTAGAAAATATTTTTAGTTCTTAATAATATCTGTTCTATATTTTACTGCACTTTGATTTTCACGCGGAAATCCAAAGGACGCTATTTTAAGTTGATTCAGAACGAGGTTTCGTGGAGATTTTAATAATTTTATATAGTTGAGATCATGAGTCAACTGAAGCTAGACCACCGTGGAAAACCTGAAAGCACTGGACGACCGTTTCGTCCTACGGAATCCCACAGTAGTACGAAACGACCGTCAAACAGTGCTTCCAGGTTTTCCATGGTCGTCTAGCTTCAATTGACTCACGCTTTCAATTATGAAAATAAATTAAAACCAAGTTTTTCCATTGGAACCACTTCATTTAATGTACAATCAGTCATTTTCTAAAATTTCCATCAAAATGAATTGATTGTGTTAAAAAAACAACCCCACAGTTTTATGAACATTTCAAATAACCCTCTGTAATTATTAAATAATTTTTATGGAGTAGATATGTATAAATTTCCTTTTGAATCATTATATATAATTAACTAGGTGTTGTTTACTTGGATCTTCCCATTGATGTTTTTAGGACTGCAATTGATCAGTCTCGTATTGGCAAATATGCATCCTGTGAGGATTGCCTCGATATTGCCTTAATTCATAAGCATTATAAACAAAGATGGATGATAGCTAGCAGTGGAATCCAGGACGCACGTTTTGTCCTGTTTGGGATTCGTCAGCCGGACTCCTCAATATGACGAAACGTGCGTCCTGTATTTCACTGCTACCTACCATTCATTTTTTTCATTATATATATAATATTTAACTAATTTTCAATTAGACACCAATGCACACAGTATGCACATATGCCAATTAGAGACTGACCAGTTGCAGTCCTAAAACATCAATGGGAAGATTCAAACAAACAATACTAAGTGAATTTCAACTTTATCCCATTGCACGAGCAAGTGGCTATCAGGACTCAGTGGACGAGTGGATAACGCGATGTCATTTGAAGCTATAGGTACTGGGTTCGAGTCCCAGAGTGAACATCAACTCAGAGATGCAGGTACATCCAGCTGATGAGTCCCAAATAGGACGAAACGCGCGTCCTGAATTCCACTGCCAGTCAGTATCTATCTTTGCTTACCATGCTTGTGAATTTAATCTATATCGAGGCAATACGCACAGTATGCACATATGCCAATGAGAGACTGACCAGTCTCAGTCCTTACACATCGATGGGAAGATTTAAACAAACAACACTAAGTGAATTTCACCATTTTATTTTTTTACATATTTGTCTTCTTTTTATTTCCTGAATAGTTAAATGAGATTTTTAAAATGACAATTCTACCTCTATAGTCATTATTCTATTCTTAAAATATGTTTATTCAACTGAAACAAATGTTAACAATCAAATTAATTAATATTTAAATGAAGTTGAATAGGATCTCTGTATGATTTTTTTCTTTATTTATATTATAACCGGAAAGAATCAATAATTTCTTTTGCTATGTATACAAATATCTGTCCCCGATATAGCCGAGAGTCAGCTCCCTCTCTAGAAATGCTCTCATGTGGGCATATGCATACAACCACTGCCAGGGAAGACCCATTCACTGTCTTCTCTCGGTGGGGGTGTTGTTTACGAAATTGAAAGGACGGAAAGTGAATGTCCAGTGTTTTAATTGGGTTGGTAAACCCTCTGTGACCACCTAAGGGAGTTGAAAAACCTTGATTCCAAACCAATGATGCACATGGGCTCCAGGATCATAAGGAAACAAATGGTGTATAAACCAATTATTGGTCACTTGCTACCATAGAACTGCATCTCCTTAAGTTGCTCCACTGTTTTATGTTAAAGGCTTGGGGTGTTGTCCCCTACAAAACCACCTGCTTCAGTTTGGACATCCGGAAAGTATCCCAGCCCTCGCATAAATCGAATGATTTATGTTGCGCATATCCTTTTGGTGCCTCCTTGTACCAATGTTTATGCGTTAAATGAATAAGTAAAAATAAAATACAAATATCTACATTCTCAGTTTCTAAATGTTAATCCTATAAGCCAACTTTTTGTCAATTATCTATTAAAATTGTGAACATAATTAATTTGATCATAAAAGATTGGCTATGATTAATACTTTCACTCTTCATTTTATTAATCAATGTAAGTTCCTAAGTTCGATAAGAGGACAGTAATGTTCGTGGTAATATATCTGACTTTGATGCAAGTATGAATCTCACAACGAGTAATATTCTACTCATGATTGCATTTTCATGTTGATGATGGACTACCAATTAGATTGGGTCACATTTCTTTAGTTTCCTTCCAAAAACATTCAACCGCTGCACAAACGTTTAAGTAAAAAAGGAATTTCGAATCTAGGTAACAGTTATACAGTTTATGATCACCAAGTAAACACTAGAATACTTGAAGAAGTCACATATAACCTTTGACCATAAAATTAAATATTCTGTTATATTCCCCCATTCAGTTACTACTCACTTTCCTAACTTTTGATTAACCCCACTTGTACAAAGAGATGATTAACATTGTACTGGAAGCTTTATTGCCAAGAAAACAAGTAACAATAATGCACACAGTTCATGAGCATATATATATTCTTGAACTGATTAGACAGGGCATGTGGGCTGTGGCTTCGATCAATAACCTGACTATGCTTGCATCCGACATTTACCATGAGTCCTTACAACAACAACACATAGTCCTCTTAAGCTTCTTAGAGATGTTAGTTGACAAACGTGAAGAATTGGTCGTCCTGAGACTTTATTTCGCATAAACATCCTATTCGTAATATATGTAACCTACCTCGCTTATAATAAAATCTACATAAGTCTAGCACACATAGTTTATTTTAACATTTTGGATTGTAAGTAACGAGTACTTTGATGAAGAAATCATTTAAAAGTCCAAATATTAAATGGTTGGAGGTAGTCGACAAGAGAATCTGGACATACATTTCGCGCTATTTGATGCTC